AGGGTTATTGAAAGGTCCCTACTGCACCTAAAAATTTGAAATTCGGTGGGAGTCAATGAACAAGTGATAAATACCTCAGTACCTCAGATTGAAATTGAAAGGGGGGAAATTCACAAAAAGCCTCGAAATTTCTCTCATAATACCCCGTTCTACGATATGTGAGTGCATGCCCCCTCCAAAGGAATAAAGGGTAAAACGAGGTGTCCTATTCAAATGATCTTATCTGGGTGTTCCCCCACGAAGAGAATCTTATCTTTAACACAGGCGAATTTCATTCAGTTAGTTTGATCATTTGGGACGGATACGAGAGTAAGCGGAAAATTTTTCTACATGCATTATTGTTGTGTGTTTTTTTGATCATCCATCTTTAGGTTAAAGTGAATTAAACCACAAATAATATTGATATATAGCTGTATCAAATGATCAAACTAAGTGAAATTCGCCTGCGTTTACGATAAGATTCTCTTAGGGGAACGCCCAGATAAGATCTTTTGAATAGGATTCCTCGATAAAGGAAATGTGCCAACATTGTCGATTAGCGTCGGTACTTTTCCTGCTATTCTTTTCATTTTCAGGGGCAGTATGAATTCAAGGACGAATCTATCAGCTGGACCTTCCCCAACTTCCCAGTCATACCGTACGGGCGCTACCGATTCCGAGTTATGTCCAAATTTGGTGGTCCTCTGCGCGGCACGCCAAGTTTCTGGGCACAAGTGGACGCTGAAACCATCCCCAAACCGTGAGGGGGGGGGGGGCTCCAGATAATCTTTAGAATCATAATTCTGCAGTTGATGGCTCTTCCCTGTTTAACTTTTTTTTCGGGAAATGGTATCAATAAAGGAATGAGCAACTAGCCCCGTGGACAAGTCAAATTCTTACTCAGTTTCACCTTACTAACATCTGGACTGAATTTAAACTAAGGTTAAGTAATTCAACAGATGAAAAAGAACACGTTACAAACATGTTAAAGGGCTAGCCTTATGCATTTCAGGCACGTCACCCACAACATCCCGCAGGCACACCCGTATCAATCATTCTCACCTTGCAGCTGTACCTTTCTGAGGGCTCAGTGGGACGCGACAAGATCTTATATTGCTGAACTTAATATGGGTCATACTGAACATGGATATGCCTTACTCGGTACAAATCAATTAAGAATTCTTTACTCAGATCAAATTTGGATGCAGAACTTAGGTTTCTTTTTCAAGAGGTGGTAATAGAACATACAAATAAAACTTGTCAACACATTTCATTTTATTTATGCATGACAGAGTACCGAAATTCTGGCACTTTTCCTTAACCGGACGGGCATGGGTTTGGAAGGCAGCCGTTGTTGCACAGGGTTGGGTCACCCACGGGCAAGGTTCCGGGAAGGCAGATGAGCACTGTTAAAAATAATCGTAAATTTACGACATTTTGTAGAAAAATTATAATTTCATGTCTCAAAATAATTCATACTTAACAGCTTGCCCTATAGACACTTATTTTATGAAAATATTTTATGTTTGCTTACCTTTCAAAAAAATCTCGGCACTCATCACTCTGACCATGTACTAACAATGATTGTATTTTCTCTTCTCTTAGTGTTTTTTTGGGCCAAGCCACTGAACTACAAATCATTATTCATATGAGGAATATTGAAGAGGTTCGTGCAATTGTAAGGATGACTATGGCTCTAGCCCTTCTTCCTGACCAGCCAAATAACTCCTACATTGTGAGGGGCTTTCACATAATCGTGCGTCATGTACGAGAAGAAGGCAATTACATCTTCGGCATTGTTCAACCTTATCTCACATTTTGTGTGGAACTCTTGGGTGAGGCGCGCATGGAAGCGGAGGAGAATGAGTGTCTTTGGCTCTACCCAGAGGACCAACAATGTATGTGCATGAGAGGGCATACTTTCAATTTATTTCTTTTGTCCATTTCTTTAGTTTACTGATGTCTGTTTCTCTGAAGGTGTGTGAAAGCAACAACAAATCTATCAATGACATGATGGTGGTGGCTCATCCCAACACGTATGCTTGGCTGCGTAAGTTTGCACCTGTTTGCACAAGCTGCTAGTAGCTTCTTTGTCTAAGTCCAGCTGGTGGCTCGCTTTTATCAGTCCTTTCATTCGGAATGCAATCAAATAATTCCTTTATTAAATCCACCGCCAAATGAATTGCTAAATTGGTTTTCTTACATCAGGTGGAATGGCGACTCTTGAACAACGAGCCCACTGGGCCACTGTGCAGCTGGAAGGAGGGGCACGCCCAAATAGGGCTCGAAAAAGAACCTCCATCCTCAAGGATGAAAACATCATAAATCTGACATGGGAAATGATGAACCCACATGGACCAGTAGATGCTGCGATCTATCTTTACTTTACCGCCCATGCCTGGTGAAGATGATGAGGAAAACCAAAACAGTGGTGATAAAGAAGAAACCAATGATGATACAGAAAAAGAAACCAATGGTGAAAATGATGGTGACAAAAAAGGCAGCAGTGAAGATGATGGTGACAGCAGTGAAGATGATGATGAGAACCAAAACACTGAATCAATGATGATACATAAAAAGAAACCAATGGTGAAAATGATGGTGACAAACAAAGCAGCACCAGTGAAGATGATGGTGACAGCAGTGAAGATAGTGGTAGTGAGTCCCAGCAGAGTGATGTATCCGGGAGCGTTACTGATGAAGAGGGGAGGTTTCAAGATGCCAGTGGCCATGATGATGAATGGCAAAGCGAAGCAAGGTCTTTGCCAGACATTTTTGACGCAACTACAGAAGAACATGCTGCAGTGAATGAGAGAATCAGGAGGAAGTTAAGGCAATCTTGATTATGTTTTTTTTATTTATTTGGAAGTTCTTTTTGAAGAATAATCTTGATTTATTTTTCTTATAGTTGGAACAAGCATGGGTAATTTACGAATACTGTGCCTGCTATTTACCTTGAGGAAAACTTGATTTTTTTTTGTTACTTAAAACACCGTGCGTAATTCTGCCTCGTGTTACTGTGCATGTTGTTAGTAAATAAGTGGCTGATGTGAAAAATTGTTTCAATTGTAGTAGTACAATCAAACGACGCAATTAATGTTTCTTACTGTGACTTTCATGCTTGACATATGGAGGTCAGCAGGTATAACATCCATGGACGTGGACGGCAGCAGGGACGTTCTGTGGACGGGTGACATAGGACGTCAGCAGTGCCACTCTTTGGACGCCAGGAACATCCCGTGGACGTCCTGGATGGCAGCGAGGACGTCCATTAGATAGCAAGGACGTTCTGTGGACGCGCTGAGTGATACCACGGGGACACGCTTTGGACGCTAGGTACATCCTGCGGACGTCCTGGATGGCAGCGAGGACGTTCTTTTGACGGCAGGGCGTTCTGTCAACACAGGGCCACGCTTTGGATGTCGTGTGTGGACGGCAATCTAGGGTAGCCTTGGATTCCTCGGACGAATCATGGATGTCCGCAATGTCCATATTTGAAAGAAATGGATGATATTTAGATATCTATTGCTTGTCCTCACCCACCGCCCTGTCCATCCGGCGTCCGCTGTTTTCCACAAGGGTTGCAAGATGGCAAGAAAACACGAAGAAATACAACGTTCCTATCATGCTTGCGCCGTTTCCTTCGCATTTTGATAGTTTAAGGCCAGGGACAGGTGAAAAAATGATCTCAGAAACTGCTGGTCCAAAACTTCTTATTTTCTGTCTAAATCTTACTCCTAATGAAAAACTATTTCACCCAAAATCCCATCCCATAATATCAAGCGGTTCCTGAGATACAGGCTTTTTTATAATTTTGTAAGTGTTGGTTAAAAAATTCCTGTGCGTTTCCCATTTTGGTTTATTGACCTGACCGACATATTTTTTTGTTCGTCTAAGTCCAAAGAACAAACGCAAGTGACAAATTTTAGTTTCCGGCACTGATAGCAAAATACCAAATTTTCAACTTCGACATTTTTCAAAAACCAAAGATTTTCCCTATTTTTGTAAAAACGAATATCCAAAACCATACTTCTGGGTGGACTATACAAAAACTGTCACTTGCGTTTCCTCGCAATAACCTACTGAGTCAGTGGAAAAAATATCATTGACGACACTTCAAACTGAATGCGCACAGGACCATTCAAATGTTTAAAAAATGTCTTCGGAGAAAAGGGCGTTCAAAGTTTGGTGACAGATTTTGATGGATTTTCAGCCAAAAAAATATCCTTGCGCATACTATTTTGTCGTAAAAGGTTAACCTGGATATTTTTCACTTCTTCAATTCATATTTAAAAGATATCAGCATGCACAACTGAAAATGTCCTGTTATAGTGTGGCAGTGTAAGGGACTTGGAGGGAAAGGGTAGTCGAAGGTCTCGTGGAGACGGAAGCTTCTGTATTATCAACAAGGTGACCGTGTACAGAATGGTGGCTGGCGCCAGACAGCGCGCCTTTATATTACAGATGCAGAAGAACATAGGGAAGAACAGTATGGTGGAGAGTGGGGGTGCATGGCCAATGGGATTTAGGAACCAGGGTATTTGAGGGAAGAACGGAAAGAAGAAGGGTTGAGGTCCTGGCCAGGATCACTAGGGCAGTGGTTAAAAAACTGGGGAATGACCGTCTAGAGGCCGTGCTTTGGTTATGTTCTCTATTGTTTCATATCATAACACCACTCCCTCCTGAATGAAAGAAACGAAGTTTCTCAAAATTTTCCTCGTACACCCTTTTCTTCGAGCCTCAGGTTGAACACTGACTTTAAACTTAGACGTACTGGTTCAAGGTTTTAGAACTATTTTCCCACTCTCTCACTCGATTTTAAACGTGGTTTCACAAGTCTGATTAAACGTCCAATTTTGATAATCTCTTGAGTTTTTATGACGACTGCTCGCTGTCTTGATGTGATGCTACAAAGGCTCGCTTCCCCATTACACCTTCTGGGTGCCAGGCGTTAGGGTGTCCAGTCCTAAGCCCGCGGGTCGGCTTGTTGTTAAAAAAATAAAAACAAAGAACAGTTGGCCTTTAACATCTCAGACGCCAGGTAGACTCCAACAGCTCCAAACGGACGTTACAACCGTCGTCACGATTTGCAACACCGCGTGAAGTTGGGATGTTCCGCCTGTGGGCCAACCAAAATTTGTGTTAGTTCTGGTGAAGCTCCAACTGAAACAAACAGAAAAACACTCTACACAGTTTTGCGCTTTTAAGTATCCAACCCCTACTCTGTCTGGTTGGTTTGCCTGATGCCGTCCTGACTATCTAGCTAATCCTACTCTGTAGGCACCTTGAAATCTAAGAAACTTAACCAGCTGTTTGTTAGTGCAAATACTTAACTCATGGAACTACTCCTCGCGTATGGGCTGGGACTCCTGGGCTGGCGTGACGTCATCTCTCAGGTTCTGGATAATGTCCAGAGCGGCTGCCAGCAGTTGCTCAGGGGTGAGAGTTCCATCCAGGACGTGAACTGGGTTGGTTTCCTCTCGTAGCAGCCAGGTGTCAGTCAGGTCGTGTAGCAGGGTGAGGTACTCGACAGTGACACCTGCTTCCTCTGTGCGGCCTCTGCAGTTTAATCGTTGGTATGCTATGGCCGGAGGCGTGCGTACATAGATGTAATGTATGGGTCGTTGAGTGGGTGGGGCGACGGCGTCGCGCAGAATCCGTAGAATGGCCATATGTTCTTGGCCGATGGCGCTCATCTCGGCGAGGCCTTGGGCGAACACTCTCAGTGAGCATTGGGGCGAGCGTTCCAGGACAGTCAGTCCTTCCGGGTGGCTAGCCAGTAATTTGGTTTGGCGGCGGCCAAGCGTGGCTAACGCGAGTACTTGGAAGGGGTAGCTCCAAGTAGCTCGGTCGGTGTAGAGAAGTTCCAGTAAATTGTGCCCTTCTACGTTTTGCCAGTCTTTGACAGGTTCATCCAGTACTGGGAAAAGTCCCAATCGCTTGAGGTTGGCTGCGAGAGTCGATTTTCCAGCCGCGATGTTTCCTTCCAAGTAGATAATTGGAGCCATTGGGCGACGTTGTTTCACGAAGTAGTGTACCATCAGTGCGGCGATGATGGCCAGGAAGGCGACGTTCATCATGATGAAGATCATTCTGGCTTGCCAAGGGCGCCAAGTCGACAGTGGTTCTGTGAATTTAGACTTGTTAGTTGCTAAACTTTGCTTGTACTCTCACTCCTCTCCGAATGAAGAAATTGCGAAGCGTTTTTAACAGTTTTACTTCTTTTTGTGTTCGTACAGTCAGGTTTACAATGTTTATTATGGTTTTGTTCGGGTTTGCGACTGGCGATACTCCTTGTGTATAACTTGTGCGCGCGCACCTGCGTCTAGCGATACTCCGCGCGTGTAACTTGTGCGCGCGCCCCCGTCTGGCGTTACTCCGCGCGTCGGATTCCTAGTGCGGCCCGGCACGGCGCGCCGCAGCCGTGTTGCGCTGCTCGTCGCGATCGAGGTCGTCGTCGTCCTCGTCGGTATCGTAACCGTAGCGCCGCAGCGGTCTGATAGCACGGCGGGGGCGGTCTGGTGCTTGCCCTGCGCCTAAACCTCCGCGTCCGCGCCCTCGGCCGCGGCCTCTACCTCTACCGCGTCCTCGCCCACGTCCTCTACCGCGTGGGGCAGGAACGCCCGGTTCGTCGTGTTGCTCGCGGGGTACTTCGACCTCCTCTACATCGAGGGGAACTGGCGCGTCGGCCATGGCTGGACAATTAGTCCCACCAGCGGCGGTTGTACAAGATAGTGTTCAAAGGGCGGCGCCTTTGCTGGACGGGGCGGATTCGCGGCGTGGGTCGCGTGGGCTCGTCGGACGGGGGCGGCGCTGTGTAGACGCGCACTGGGGTTTTATGTTCAACAAGATTGCCCTTGTTATCCCAGGTAATTACTGTGCAGTAATCTATGTGTACTGTGTTGCAGGACGACGCGGTGTTCACTTCGCGAGGAACTTCGGCTTCAACGACAGATGCAGCTGGGTGTGGGGAATGGGACATAGCACTTGACTTTAATAAAGTTTTGACTTGATTTCAAGCCTCTAATTTCTAAGTTAAGACTAGTTCACTCACTCCTTAAAACTAGCACAGCTCGATGCCAGCTGGTCACTTTGACACAGTGGCAGAGTAGGCCTTTAACTAGCCTCACCACAGCACGAATTCACTCAGCAGGCGTGTGCAGGTGGACATCAATGCGCGGTAAGAACCGAACTCGCAGCTTTACTGATCATGCGGCAATTCACGCAGCAGCGGATGCAGGTGGACATGCGTTATGGGCAGTAGGCAACTTGTTCCTGTATCAGTCAAGCACTGGCTCTTGATGATTTCACGCAGCAGCGAATGCAGGTGGACCTCGTCAAGTGTCAATGTGGGCTGATTTGTTTAATGAGTGAGCAGGCAATTTCACGCAGCAACGAATGCAGGTGGACGTCACTTGGTCACGAATCAAACAGACTTAAATTAGCTGTAGCGCTCGCGTAGGCAATTTCACACAGCAAACTTAATGCAGGTGGACGTCACACTACTTGTGCATCTACAGGTTGTACCCGTTCCGTAAGTGAGTAATTTCACACAGCAACGAATGCAGGTGGTGACTATTCACTCAGGTAGCAGGTGTCTTAAATTATTTCTAGCACTCCCTTGTACTCCTGTCGGACACACTCAAACCTTGCGGCGAGTTTCCAACACTCTTTCTCACTCAGAGTCACTCTCGAAAACCCAACCTCTGAAGTCAGGTGGGGCCTGGCCTCAGCGGCTAAGCTTGATTCAATTACACACACAAGTATCCACTTTCGTTAGCTTGAGTTAGCAGCTTTTTCAATCACGATTCACACGCTGGTATTGGTTGTGGTGGGCCTCTACTAGCTTCAAGTTCACACACTAACACTCACTGACTCGAAAACTGCTAAGTTCAAACTCTCGCGCTATCACTCACTCTCTTCCCCCCTAACAGGGAAGGCATAGACCGACCTTAACCTCAAAGCCCGATTAACCGCTGTCACCAGTGTTATAGTGTGGCAGTGTAAGGGACTTGGAGGGAAAGGGTAGTCGAAGGTCTCGTGGAGACGGAAGCTTCTGTATTATCAACAAGGTGACCGTGTACAGAATGGTGGCTGGCGCCAGACAGCGCGCCTTTATATTACAGATGCAGAAGAACATAGGGAAGAACAGTATGGTGGAGAGTGGGGGTGCATGGCCAATGGGATTTAGGAACCAGGGTATTTGAGGGAAGAACGGAAAGAAGAAGGGTTGAGGTCCTGGCCAGGATCACTAGGGCAGTGGTTAAAAAACTGGGGAATGACCGTCTAGAGGCCGTGCTTTGGTTATGTTCTCTATTGTTTCATATCATAACAGTCCATTACATTATCATTGGCAAGCTTCTTAAGCATGCATTTCACTTAAATTGATCAACAATGTACAAAATAGACAAGTTGTAGTGACTTCTTAGATGAAAAAAGCATGTGATTACTAGTATAATGGAAATTTTGAACTAGGCATGCTGGAATCTTTTTGAAATGAATCGAAGAAGTGCAAAATGTGAAAATGAGTCTTTTACGTCAAAATAGTATGCGCAAGAGGATTTTTTAAGATACGGCTAAATAAAGCCAACAGTCCAAAAAAGACAATTCGACTGGGTTCAAGACCTGGCATATGCCTTCAAAAATCAAATCTTAGTCTCTTCATGAGCTCCTGGTCTCTTTGAAGTATGATTTCATATTCCCAACAAATTATGACAGTGGGGTTCATTTTGAAAATGGCAAGATTTTCACCAGAACCTCCCCTTGATGGCAAAACGGACAATTTTACTAAAATGTCGGAAATGCAGGAATGTGCGAAAAGATGTATTTTAAGCACTTCCAGGTCCCGGATAGTCGAAGTCCCGACAGATCTTGAAAGAGGAAGGTCCAAAGGACCATTTTCCACACAGAACTCATTTCATTAAATTTCACCAAACTTCTTCATTTTTTCACCTGTCCCTGGCCTTAAAGTTGTATTATGTGTCGAAAAAAAGTGAGGGACAGGCTTTTGGGGGCAAAAAATGCCTTTTTTCTAATTATAATATTGGTTTTAAATTACAATGCGACTCAAATTTCGTCTTCTGATAGGTTTTTTATACGTGTATATGAATAAGAAGTGTGGCAAAAAGTTTTGAGCATTTGGATTGAGGTTTAGAAAAAAACTGAAAGGGACAGAAATTTGCGAAAAGTTGCCCACTTTTTGGAGAATGCGCCACATCGTCATGCTTGCGGAGCCAGGGTCCGTCTTCATCGGGCACGTGAGGGCCGCGGGCAATCGACGAGGCTCGCGCCCTTGTCGACGGCCTAAGCAACCGCCGTGTGGCTACGAACAAGATGCGGGCTGCGACGGCACCTCGTACAACACCGGGCCGTGGGAAGGTCTCGCGTGCCTGGAGCCGTAGCAGCGCATCACCTGCATGCTGCATGGCAACGAGCTGCCTTTGAACAGATTGGTCAAGATTTTTGACGGCCCAACTTCTGGACCGAATGCCTGGTGCACTGTGAGAAAAATGTACGGTATTCGCCGTTAATTTATTAACAGGATTTGCCGTACTTAAAAGTACGGTGTTTACCGTACCTAGAAGTACAGCGTTTACCGTACCCATTGAAGTACGGTGTTTGCCGTACCTAGAAGTACAGCGTTTACTGTACCTGGAAGTACGGCGATCACCTCAATTTGTACAATCATCAGGCCGTCATTTCTTGACATCAAAGTCAATTTAGACGATTTTGAAAATGTACTCAAACTCTTGGGAATCGAATTCAACGTGAGATCTTTTCAACTCCACGTTAAAAGTGCCGCTTTGAAATCCAAGGGGATGTCTTGTTATATTTCTAAGGGGTTTAAGTGAATTTTCCAAGTGGTCCAAATCAAGTGAATTTTCAAAGTGGTCCAAATCAAGATCTTTTTACAGCAATGGATTCGTCTCGTCAAGACAAACAAAAAATGTCATGGCATGTCATAGGTTTGGATGGAAAATGAAAAAGCTATTCACCTACAAACTTTAAAATATGTTCAAACAAGAAGTAAAGAAAAAAGTTTAAAGGATGGTGCGAAATATCAATGAATTGATATTAAATAAATGACTCGTTCTTTACACATTTTTTTGTGAATGAAGGATGTCTAGTGGTTATCAAAAGTGGCCAGGTGGTTAAATAATTGTTAAGCTCGAAATGAAAGTACGTTCAAACTCTACCGCCATTACAGTAGTTCGTTTGAAATCCGCGTGGTGGCGCCACGGGTCGCCGATGTTAGCGGCAGGCCATCCAAAGGAAGGTTGAAAAACTGCAGATATTTTAAATGTTTGTTTGGTAAGAGAGATAATCCTCAAATGAAAAATGTTAAACAAAGCACAGGGAGGTGGATTTTTGCTATGGCACATGCCAATTCGATATGAATCACGAAAAAACGAAGTGTTATAACCTTTCATTACTAGACACCAGCCAGTTTTAATAAACATTTTCAATCTTCATTTGCTCAAAAACTTTCATAGTGAAATGAAAAATACTTCATTTACGCCTTAAAGAGGAGGCTTTGATCTTTCAAATGAGTACATTACATATGGTTTTCCTTGTGTGCATAGCGAGTTGAATCATGTAGCTAACAAAAACCGATTTTGAGCACAATACTCGTTCTCTTCACATTAACCTAAATTTTGAAATGAGGGTGTAAAGAACGAGTAAAAACGACCTTTTAGGAACTTTTGAAGCTCAATAACGTTGTCATTTCCCATCCAAACCTATGAGATGTGTTGACATTTTTTGTTTGTCTTGTCGAGACGAATCCATTTCAATAAGAAGATCTTGATTTGGACCACTTTGAAAATGCACTCAAACCCCTTGGAAATAAATGAGACATCCCCTTGGATTTCATGGCGGCCCTTTTACCGTGTTGGTACAAACTACGGGAATCGCCGTACTTCCAGGTACGGTAAACACCGTACCTCTATGGGTACGGTAAACGCTGTACTTCCAGGTACGGTTAACACCGTACTTCATGGGTACGGTAAACGCTGTACTTCCAGATACGGTAAACACCGTACTTTTAAGTACGGCAAATCCTGTTAATAAATTAACGGCGAATACCGTACATTTTTCTCACAGTGTGGTGGCCTGTTGGAAGTCTTCTCGCCAGGGCCGAGACAATGCCTATCAAGAAGTTCAAGGCCATTCCCTCAACGCTTCCGGACGTGGACAGAGAGGCCCTAAACTGGGAGCAACGGTTCCTCTTCGACTGCTGTGCCGCCATCATCAAGGGGGACTTCGACGCCGACCTGGCCGCTCGGACTCCCGGGGAGATGCATCGTGCATGATGGGTGACTACCGCCAGCAGAGTGCTTCGCCTGTACGCCGCCTACTCGCGCCCGCCAGCGTTCCTTAACGACTTGACGCAGTACATCGTCAAGGTGTACGCGCCGTGCTGGTTCCAGATCAAGAAGGTGCCGCTGCTGGTGGAAGGACCCCGACACCTGCACAACTTGATCAAGTCTTCAAGATTTCTGCCGAAGTAAATGATGCAGGTGGTGAACGACTCTATCGAGATCAACTGTTTCATGGCCCACCCAGAGAACCTCCTTCTGGCCATGGCTGTTCACGAGCGACCGGATGTACGTGCACTCGCGTTAGCGTTAGAGCGCATCCTGGAGGCCCGCAGCCGCGCCACCCCGAACGAGATCCGCAGCTTTGAAGTCCCTGAAATAAACTTCAACGCCGAGGACTACTGCACAAAACGACGAAAATTTTGAGTGCTTTACGATGCTGAACTCGAAAACTCGTGCACAACGACGGCCCCTATTGTCTGGCGTACACCTACCTTGTAAAATATTATCGCGTGAAAAATGCGAAAGTATGTCTTGCGTTTTGACAGGTTTTGAGGTGAAAAAGTGATAGCATACGTTTATGGGATGCAATATTCATGGCACTAGTGCGACAGTTGTTTCGTGGCGCTAATAATGCAATAAAAATTGTATTGCAATCGAATTGAATTTCCTATCACGCTTGGGATAGCAGCGCCTGCGCAAACATCTCTTTCAGGGTGCATCGTATGAGGCAAACCGCACTCGTCGATTAAGTCCCGAGCCCATTACATTTGCGTCGTTTTATGACGAGCCAGTGCACGCCATTTTGAGCACCTCAACAAAAGACTGCGCAGTGCTTGTGCAGTGATGGCTATCGTGCCGCCCTGCCCTTTTCAGCGCTGCAGAGGACCTCACGCGACGCCTGTTCCCCACCTGTTGACGGACTGCACCCATACTCGCCTCACTGCCCGAACGTAGCCTTCGTGAAGCTTTTGCCGTGTGTCAAAGCATGTTGAGTAACGAACTTTCATGAACGCGAACCAAGAAACTGCACAATGATGTATCGAGCGAGGGGGTAGCAACTCGCGTAATAGTCGGGTCACCTGCTCTGTAATAACAACGTAATATCCGTAATGACGGCGTAATAACCGAAATAGTCGCGTAATATCGGTAATAATAACGTAATACACGTAATATTATCGTAATAGCCGCGTAATAACCGCGTAATAGGTCAAAAATGCCCCTGTCAGGGAGTATTGACAGCTCCTGATGGCGTTGGCTATACTCCACTCACGGTTGTCGGCATTCCCCCAGAGTCGGGTGTAGGGGGTACACTGTACGAAAAATGTAGGGTATTCTCCGTGAATTTATTAACAGGATTTGCCGTACTTAGAAGCACGGTGTTTACTGTACCTAGAGGTACAGCGTTTACTGTGCCTGGAAGGACGGCGATCACCTTAATTTGTACAGTACACTTGTCAAGAGGCAGTCATTTCATGACATCAAAGTCAGTTTAGACGATTTTGAAAATTTACTAAAACTTTGGAAATAGATTTAGCCCGAGATCTTTTCAACTTGACGTTACAAGTGCCGCCTTGAAATCCAATCTTGTAATATTTCTCAGCGGTTTGAGTGAATTTTCCAATTGGTCCAAATCAAGATCTTCTTACAGAAATGGATTTGTCTCGACAAGACAAAAAAATGTCTACGTATGTCATAGGTTTGGATGGAACATGAAAAGGCTATTCACCTACAAACTTGCAAAGATGGTCAAGAAATGACCTTCTTGGTACTTTTGAAGCTCAATAACGTTGTCATTCCCGTCCAAACCTATGAGATGTGTTGACATTTTTTGTTTGTCTTGACGAGACGAATCCATTTCTGAAAGAAGATCTTGATTTGGACGAATCCATTTCTGAAAGAAGATCTTGATTTGGACCACTTTGAAAATTCGCTTGATTTGGACCTAGTTCTAGTAAATAACTTCGAACAACCTTAAAAAATAACCAAAAAAGAAAAGAAAAACTGTGCACTGCAAATGAACAGCGGGATTTTTCATAACACGAGTATGTTGCAGGAAGCGGAAGCAACGTGAAAGATTTGGCGCTGTTTTTCAAAGCGTAATAACCGCGTAGCACAATAGTCCGTAATAGAACGTAATAGCCGCGTAATATACGTAATATCCCATCTATTACGCGTAATAGTCTCAAAACGTAATAGTCGGGCCGCGATTTTTGGGAGTTGCTACCCCCTCGGTATCGAGGGACGCCGAGGGCACCTTTCTCAAAATAACTTCTCTTTTTGACTTCCGCATTAGGTTGTTTTCTTCCCTACAAGAGCCTCCCTACAATGTTAATGACCCCACACCCGTTGAACAATATTTTAATGCAAAACTGATCGCAGCTTGTTGCAGGTGCACCAAGATACACAGCGTGTCATGTCGTCATGTCGCCTGTCGCAGTCTTCACACTTGCCACTCTGTGGCTCTTCGGCAAAGTTGAAAGTAAAAGGCTCAACACGTTTGCTGTACGTGGAGGGAAGTACATATCGCGGCGGTGATAGCAGTTTTTGCCATCAGGCCTGCCAGCATTTGGTGCTGTTTCTTCTTCGAACGTGTGTGGTTCTCTCGTTTCGGAGTAAATTTGATGTCCCTGATTCGGCGAAACGCGATAAATCTGGCTTCCGTAGTTTCCAGGAATATTCGTCTATTTTCAGGAGAAATGGTCATTTTCCAGGACGAATTCGCTGCGGCTTTTGAAAAATATTCGGCTATGAAAAATATTCGCCATTCCGAGGACGCGTTCTGGTAATATTTCCCCCACTGCAAGAAAAAGTGTGAATAGTACAACAAATGTACAACAAAAACTGTACAATAAAAGTACAACAGGGATTGTAGAAAGTACAACGAGAATTGTACAAACCACAACGAGGCCTGCACTGCCCAGCACTCGTCATGCCGGTTCCATTGTACTTCGTACAACAATTGTTGTACTTTGAAAGTACAATAAAAACCTGATAAAAAAATTGCCAGAAATTTGTGTACTTTTGTTGTGGTTATTTCCTGCAGTGCCGTTTCCAGTATCCGTGCTGGGAAATGACCAACCCTCCTTGGCATTGATGTTCTTGCCATTCCCAGGAGGCATATTTACCGTGTAATAGAGTTAGTGTAGAAGTCTTTCTTTTCAGCGCGCGCAGTCCACTAGGGTAGAGAAAGTACGACAATGGTATGTTTTGCAAAGATTGTGTCCAATAAGTAGTAGGCCATCTCCAAGCGCGGATCGGGGGGGGGGGGGGGGGGGGGGGGCAAAAGGACTATTGCCCCCCCCCCCCCCCCCACCCCTAGATAGCCGCTTGAAAGGTAGGCAAAAAGCACCACATTGTCCCTGTAAGTAGGCAAAAAGTGCTACTTTGACCCCCCCTTGGGCCGACTCTGGATCCGCCACTGGCCATCTCGCGCTCGTGCTGAGAGCTTTCTCTTCGCGGTCCTGCGTTCCGTAGTTCTAGGCCTGGGACTGCGCTAGGTGCCAATGTCGTCGTGCACGTCTCTGGCACACTGTTAAAAAAGCCGTACATTTCAAGGAAAAAGGTACGGCTAGACCGTACGGCTAGACCGTACGGCTAGACCGTACCTCACGGTGTACAGAACTACTGTACCCAAAAACCATGCTTCACATAAGAGCCCATGTTATAAAAAACCGTAGTCCGTACCCCAAAAACCGTACTGGCTGAGGTACGGTGGTACCAGGCAAATTGTCTACCATACTGTGCCTGTACCTTTTCCCGTGGATTTTTTCTACAGTGTGTTCCGTTTTACAGGGCCCATTCATTGCATACGGTCATTCGTTCAGCCCGTGCGAGTCAGACGGAGGCGCCGTGATCCACATCCGAGCAACGCACTTCAACCCTCTGAGACCCTACGACCTGCAGTTACTTACGGGAAATTTTACAATCAAAGAAAATATCGGAGACGATTCGTGGGTGAGGAAGGACGTATGTGCCTAGTTGATCAAAAAATGGCCCATAAGTCTTACAACCAAAAAAAAGTTGTCTGCGCCGAGCCGAAAGCGTATCTCCAATTTCTTCCGGAAGACTTAGTTTTTGAAACAAGACGAATTTGCACAAAATCGTACCCGAATTTCAGAGGATGGATTGGAATAACTCACTTTAAAGAGCGTTTTGTGCATAGCCGATCAGTTAATGCTGAGGCGGTCAACGGCAGCTTGTAATATAGATTTTAAGGCGTGCAGGACATCCGAAGAAAAACTGGTGGAGGAGATAACATTCCCGACCATGTTTCGTTTAATGTGTCGGATGTTATGAAAAGCCCCACGGCTGCCACTGGGAGAAATAATGAAGATCGTGGCCAAGCGCGGATCCACGGGGGGGCACCGGGGGCGGGTGCCCCCCCCCCCCCCCCCCCCAAAAAAAAAAAAAACCTCAGACGCGCATGGGAAAAAAGGGAGAGAAGGGGGAAAGAGAGGAAAGAGGAGAGAGGGAGAAGAAAAGTATGGGAAAATTGGAAAGTTTGAAGTTGCGGAGCTTTCAGCTCGCTTCGCTCGCAACATGGAACAGACTTGGTGCACAAGTCTTTGCCGGTTCGGTCTAAGTCATAGCCTTGTAACGAATAGAAATAGGGCGGTACTTTGCTACGGGCCTGGGTAGCTGGTTATGCTATCGGGAAATTGTTTTGATCATTCTTGAGAAACCTCTTCAAGAACTAATTTGCAGTCTAAATTTGAACGGCCCATGGCCTGTGGCTCGCAAAGTATTTTGTGTTTCTGTTTGCTTTTTAGATTGAAAACTTCTGTAACTTGTTAAAATTGAGCCTCAATTTTAAAAAAAGTTTGGACCTTGCGGCTCACTACGCTCACCGGCAACAACTGGCACCATCGTTCATTTCGTAACAAACCCGTAGCGTTATTTATTAGAAACCTTTAAAAAACAAATAAAACGCCACACCTAATTTTGAACCATCAGTGGCTTGCGGCTTTCTCAGCTAGCAGACACACGTATTAGTATAACGTCCAGTCAGTGTTAAATGTTTTCACATGAAAACCTTGCAAAAGAAGAAAAATTGAACCCAAATTTAAACAAGGTCGGTAGCTTCTGGCTCGCTTCGCTCACCCCAACCACACGAGTTGTATAGTTCAGGACCTGCTATCCACTCACACCTCGATTAACAGAGTCTTAATAGTATTCAAATGCGTATTAGGCTGCGAGAATAGCCCACTATACTCTTTTTACGGACAATACGGCGAAACGTCGCAATATGGGCGGTCGTGCCCCTGTAGGTAGGCAACCTGTGATACGCATTTGCCAAAAGTGCCCCCCCTAAACGGAAATCCTGGATCCGCGCCTGATCGTGGCTGTTAAACCTAAAGCCACTCTCCACTGTTTACCGAAAGAAGGTGTTTACCGTACCCTGGGATACAGTAGACACTGTGCCTGAAGGAACGGCGTTCACTGTATCCCGGGAACCTGCATCCACTGTACCTTGGAAACTGTTCTGACACGGCATTCAGTAACTGTAAGATAAAGGCGAAATTCTAAAATCGCGATAGGAACGTTTTGATGACGGAAATGAATTCATCTAAACAAGACGAACAAAAAATGATGAGCATGTTATGGGCTCAGACTCGAAAGTCAACAGATATCGGCATCAAAAGTCTAAAAAAGTTGGATTTTGGACCGTAATTTGGAGTCCGATGTTTTGGAGTCCAACACTGAGATTCCAAACGCTATGAGTATAGCACGTGTGGTGCAATGCCTCAGCCATATTGCACCTTACGTGCAATGAATCCCGAAAAGGCCCTATGCTAATGCATGGGAATGGGGAGGCATTGCACTTCCCGTACAGAAAAAAGTAGATCCTTTGGGTCTCCTAATTGTCTCACGCCGAGACATGGAGAAGTCACCTGTGAGACACGCTGGAGTCTGCGCCGAGACAAAATGGAGACTCTGAGAAGACTTACTGGAGGCAACAGGAAGCCGCAACTGAGACAGAATTCAGCCGTTCCTGAGACAGAACTGAGCCGTTGCTGAGACAGAACTGAGACACAGCGTGTCTCAGCGATGTCTCAATGACGTCTTATTTCCTCTTACTAGTCATCCTCAAGATAGAACTGAGACATATCCTCAAGACAGAGCTGAGACAGAATGGCGACGGATTCAGCCGATTCAGCGCGATCCGAAGCAAAACAGAGGGCAGCGATCCGGACTTGAACCCCGAATCTATGCGTGTCAGATTAGTGCCCGAACTCGCTTGGCCAGAGCGACATCGGTGCGGACGGAGGAACCACAACGCTAGTCTATCTGATTCGACACACGACACGTGGTGGTGCGTTCGGCGTACAAAGTCCAGTGGGCAACGTATACAAGCACATGATAGATTTAAGACGCCTTTCTACATTTGTTATATACACCGATACACCGTATGCAACACTATACAAGGTAGGTTTACGCCAGACCGCACAGTGGGCTAAAACACCCTTTTAGGCGCTCAAAACCTATATTTCAGCCATTTTTGATCGTATATGTCCCAAATTTGGTACAGACCCTCTTTTGGTCTTACTTTTTGAGATTTTTAACATGCGGTGGCAAGTGTGACCTTATCTCGCCGTGGTTCACGGAAAAATTTATTTAATATAATCGTATTTTTATTTTGTATATTTCTGAGTCTGCGGGAGCACCCCTCTTTCCACTAGATCAATGCAAAAAATATTGTAGGTTTTTTTTTTTAAAGTTAATTGCAGACGAAACAAATTTAAAACCGCTTAAAAAGGGGTCAAAAAACACTTAAATTATATGGACGTTCTTAAAAAAAAATACTGTAAAAAATCATGGTTACAGATTTTATAGCAACTGTCAAACTTCAATTTCCTAAAGTCCATTTTTAAATGATATAGTATCATTTTAAATCTTTATGGAACAATAACATGGCAGGCTCATTAGCCTGGTCATCAAAGAGGTCAACTAAAAGTGAAAGAACTGTGGGACACATTTTTTTTTACTTTGGGTTTAGGGTTTTTTTTCCCCGAAAGAGCTGATCACAGGATGAGATGAAAAAACATTGCAGTCAGAAGGTCTACATTCCCATCAATTCTGTTGCAGGGGGGCCTTTTCTTGAGGGTTACTTGTAGAGAAGGGGCAGGGGGGGCTGGGAAAAGGAGCCAAATAACACGTGAAAAGATAAGGGACGGTTGGGGTGGAGACACGGTTGCTTGGATTCTTCCTTTGTTGGGACGCATTTTCTCCCAAAAAAGGGGGAAATTCCCATTTTATAATGTTTCACAGCCGTGTATTACTGTTTGCGCAAATATGCGCAGGTTTTCTCTGTTGATCCTTTAAATTGACACACAGTTGATATTTCCAGCGCTGAAACCTCTTGATAGTGCTTGATTCTATAGTAGATCTCAAACTTTTGTCTTTAAAGAAAAAATTATACAAAAAAAGCGATTTTATGCACACCAACACCCTTCAAATTATCGCAGGAAGATACTCGGGTATCATTTTGAACGGGAATACTTGTTTTTTAAAAATAAAACACCGGGGGTTTAAAAATCTAGATGCAGAGCCGTCAAAATCGCTGTGGCGTTTTGTTGCTTTTTTACTAAAAATAACACATTATTAAAAGTTTTAACTTTGACGGCCTGTAGTGGTCGTAGTTTTTGGGCTGACAACAAAAATACGACCAGATTTGGGAAACTGCGGAAAATTTCCCATCCGATGGAGAACAAGTTTGCCCGTTTAAACGATTTTCAAGAAAGAGGTTTTGAGCGCCTAAAAGGGTGTTTTAGCCCACTGTGTGTCGTAACAGGCTCCATTTTGTCTCGGCGCAGACTCCAGCGTGTCTCACAGGTGACTTCTCCATGTCTCGGCGTGAGACAATCCTGATCTACTTTTTTTTGTACGGGTTCGTATGCAATGCTTTTGCATTGCACCAATTGACGCTATACTCATAGCGTTTGGAATCTCAGTGAAAATCCTACTTTTTTAGACTTCTGTTCACGATTTCCGCTGAATTACGAGTCTGAGACCATAATATGCTTATCATTTTTTGTTCTAATTGTTAAGATGAACTCATTTCCATCATCAAATAGTTCCTATCGTAATTTTGGAATTTCGCCTGTATTTTGCAGTTATACTGAATGCAGTGTCTGAACAGTTTCCAAGGTACTGTCCACTGTTCCACTGTGCCCCAGGGTACGGTAAACACCTTCTTATTTCTCCCAGTGTGTTATCAATACCCCATGCTTGGGCGATTCGCAATATCATGCAAGGGTTTGGAAAGCGTCTTAGATTTCGAAAATTACGGATTCCAGATTGATCTAATGGAGATGTACAGTCTAGATGAAGTGCCAGACTACTATCTCCTAGCACAAGTTTGACACCGATACACTGAACATCAAATAGTGATACATCTCACTCTGCGGATTGAGACAGAACTGTCTCACCGATAAAGACTAATACAAAAATGCATCACCAAAGAGGACACGAATGTATCACCGAAAAAGGGTCGCACTTCCCCAGGGAAATAAGGGCCAATCTCGCTGATACCTGATCTTTTCCTCGCTGATACATTTGTGTACGACCGTCTTTTTGGTGGTACATACGTGTACGACCTTTTTTCGGAGATACATTTACATAGCCGAAAATGAGTGAGATGTCTCATTCTTTGAATTTCAGTGTATGCGGAACATTCTTTATTTGAATAGGGAATTCCTAAATCTGTTACAAATCGTCCCACTCTCCCCTCTATAGTACGCTCAAATGTATGCTCAAAATCTCGCTCAAAATACTTTCCAACAACAAGCTGCTTTTCTTTTTAAGGGCTAAAGTAGTTTGTAAGGTGTTCACAGTGTGATTTCTAGTGGGTGGTAGTTTTAAAGAACCTGAAATATTATTACTAACATGAGAAAGTTGTTATGCATTTCAGTCACTCGTTGATATGGCGGTACGATCTAACAATGAATGGAAAGAAAACGCATTTGTCTTCAATTTTCCCAAAATGGGGTGCAGTGGTATGCGGGAGCAGTTTCCCAACTTCTATCGCATCATATCAAAGCATACAGGGGCGCCAATGGATAGGGCCGTGCCCTGTGTCATGTCATACCCAAGGTACGTGTGAATTATTCTACTCGACCAACCACAAATGGATAGAAATTGGCCCGCTACACTTCACGGTTAAAGCAGAACCCGCCACTGGAATAAAAGGTGTACATTAGTTCAACATAAAAGTAAAATATTTTCGGTTTGGAATAAAGGAGCTGTGGTGTCATGGACGATCTGCGTCGCTTTCTTAACTGTTCTTTATCCTTCTTCGTTTTCAGGGACACCACGACTTCAAGAACGAATCAATCAGCTGGACATTCCCGAACTTCCCAATCATACCGTATGGACGCTACCGATTCCGAATAATGACGAAATTTGGTGGTCCTCTGCGCGGCACGCCGAGTTTCTGTACACAGGTGGACGCTGAAACCATCCCCAAACCGTGAGGGGGCCGGGCACTGTGGCGGCACCAGAGGGAAGCATAGAAGCTCTGCACCGTGGCCTGGCTGGCCAGACGCCTCGACGTCGCAGCTCGAAGCCTCGGCCCGTCACTCTCATATTAGTAACGTGACGCCTCGTTGAAATGAATGTGACAAAATGTCGCGTTTCTTCGAGTATTGTCACTGTTATCCAAGTTGCGATACTTTCAACACAAAAACGTGGGATGATATCCAACATGCGATTCCCACGAATCATTGCTCCTGAAATGCAATGACTTCAGTAGTGCACAAAACTCTGCAATGATCATCGCAACTTTCTGCAATGAAAATCGGAATTGTTGACAAAATCTGCAATCATTACAGTTTTTTGCAATAATAATTGCAAATTTCTGCGATACTCTAGCTCATCACACCTTGTCGCAATGATCATCACAGAAAAGCGCGATAAAATTTGTATCGCGCAGAAAGTGCGGTCTGTATCGCAAGTGGAATAACAGTGCTGGGAAAACCAGGTACCGGTTTATCGTGCATTAACGCACAAACGAATGTGACAGAATGCTCAAAGGAACGTGATAACATGTCACGTTCGGCAATCAAAATTAAAGCTGATAATAATGGTGGATACTATAGCACTTTTTGATGTAGTACAGTAAAGTACTATACTACATCAGTTAAAGATCTCGTTGACGAACAACCCAAGGCAAGAGCAAACAATCTTGGTCAAAGGGCGACATATTTACTGCTGAACTACATCACTGTACATATCGTATCACCATGGCGCGTCGCGTCACATGTGCCGCCCCTGGCGAAGGTTGATGAGTGCTTGCAGGAAGCTGAACCAGCCCCGGATGGCTGCGCGGCAAGCGCCCCTGTCCAGAACGCCGATGCCGCGGCCCCGAAAGAGAGCCCCCCGCATCCGGGAGGCCAGCATCAGGTTGAGGCGCAGACGAACCTGGAGTGGGAATTGCTGGATCAGGAGCCTCAGTGACCACTGACCAGAAATCTAGTGGAAACCGTCGTACTTGGGACTGTTCATAAAGTCCGTCACGCGTTCACAGGTCACTTTTGCACCTTCCACCCCATTTTTTTTGTCAAACCTTCGCGGGAGAATCTGCAGTCTGAATTGTACCCAGGAACTGATGTCACACTATGCTTTTAAGTGAATAAGAAGGGTAGTTGTAGTGTGGCTCCATTGTTCTGCAAGACGCTGTCTATGTGGGAAAAACAGGGTTTTCGACAAAGGTTGTCCAAATCAAACCAAACTTTGGTTTTGGGTTCTCCTCGACCCATAGACATGTGAAATTTTTTTTTGAAATTTTTTCGACAAGTTTTGTTTAGATAGGAAATTTTTTTATTTCAATCAAACTGCTGCGTCTTTTGAGTAAAATAAAAAAAATGGCCAATTTCGACAAAACTTGTCGAAACAATTTCAAAATTTTCTTCACGTGCCTTTGGGTCGAGGAGAACCCAAAACCAAAGTTTGGTTTGATTTGGACAACCTTTGTCCAAAACCCTGTTTTTCCCACATAGACAGCGTCGCAAGTGCTCACATATGGGCTATTTTGTGTGTAGAATGAAGTATGCATCGGCCACAGTCTAACTGCAGATGACCGGCTGCAGTTTGAGTGCGGTTAAAATACAGTCTAAGTACACTTAACTGTACTTGAAATGTGCTCTAACTGCCGAAAAACTAGAAGTTTTTTAGGACCTTTTCAGTTTCAACTGCAGTTTTGCGGACTGTTCACAACAGTTTTGACAAAAATACGGTTTTGCCATAAAAATTCAAAATTTTTGATTTCCAGTCTTATGTCACCTCTCTCTCCCCTTTTTTTACTCGTTCTTTACACACAAACAAATGAAAAGTGGTATAGTAAATAGAACGAGTATTGTACTCAATTCGTCTTCCCCACCCCTCTTTTAAGTTTCCAATCGAGCAACAACAGGAAAAGGAAAAACCGCGTTTTATTATTTATCATTTTTCCAGCCGTGAGCGAGGGCGCCAGGTCGGAAATAGGTGTTTAGAGAAAATGACATTTAGATTAAAAAAAAAAACATAAAACTACCGACCATACGCATTTTTATGTTTACGGGCGTGGCCATGTTTGAATTCGGTTTGCGTCAAAATATCCCCTTACCCGACTGAAATTGGATTCTTTAAAGATTTTGACATTGAACTCAAAGTGAGACAGCTGTAAACAAGTGGGGGGGGGGGGATATGCAATGAAAGTTTACTCTTTTGGAACTTAAAACATGAGCAGAAGCCGAAGTGAGTTGAATTTAGACTTGGGGTTTGTGGCGTTGGACTGGGAATTCCTCATTAATCATTAAGGATTAGTAGAGAAAACGGATAAAGTAAAGAAATAGACCAAACTTTAACGATTTTCACCACTATGCCCCCTTAAATCTCCACGGATTTTTCGATAAATTTTTAGTTAGTCAAATATTCTGTTGAAACCCTTCAAACTTTATCCCGAGCCGCAGCATTTGACCTTGACCTGTCTTCATGCAAGACCGCCGTTTTGAAATGTAATATTGGTATCTATCATTGGGATGAACCGAGGGGGTAACCACTCGCGTAAAACCCTGTACACCAAAACCGTGTATTACGCGTAATACACGTGATCGTAATACCATTTTTGGGTCAAATGTGCCAAATTTTGGCATTTTAAGACCGTAATACACGTGTAATACACCGTAATACAGCGTAATAGAGAGTAGTCTGTACACGATTTCTTGAAGTGTTTACCCCCTCGGGATGAACATGAACGTATGGCCGCAAAACCTCGAATCTCTGCTCGTCCAGCCACGGCCCGCGGTAAGCGCATCCGGCCAGGGCTTCGTGTGCTGCCAACATTTTGTCGCCCGCCTCACAGATTGGCACGAACACGATGAGCACCACGGGGGCGATGACGAGCGCGTACTGGTCAGCATCTTTGCCGTTCAGCACCACCTGCCAGGAAGGAACAAACACTGTCAAGTTTTTGGTATTAACATGACGATTCACCCTCCAACCAGAATGCCGAGTGAAGAAGAAGAGGTACAAAAGAACTGAAATCAGTTTCACTGCAAATGCAAAGGCAATACTAAAGTACATTTTTTGGCGATACAACTGAGTATCGCCAATAAATGGCCTTACGGAAAAGTATTGCCTTCAAGTATCGCCAAAATTTGGCAATACTTTTGGATATTTTGGATACTTTTGGATATTGTCAAAACCACGGCATTAAACAGGTCTTGTCCCCTTGACGACGTTTACTGCCAAATCGTAGCAATATTTTAAAGTATCGCCAAATTTTGGCGATACTTTCCCGTAAGGCTGTTTTTTGGCGACATTGAATTGTATCGCCAAAAAAGGTACTAATTGCCTTTAGATTTACAGTGTTTCGACGGGTATTAACCACAAAACAAAGCTTTATTTAAATTAAACCAATATTTAGAACACAAAATGACTCAAAATAAAAACAAATGGTCGACGTCTGGGTGCATAATGGAACCGAATTGACTGGCTTCACATCTGGCGACCAACAGCAGCCTAACTTTTGTGTCTTACCAAATTTGGAAATTTGAGGTCGGATACTACGTTTGCCTTTTTGGGTCACTTTTGGAGTGGGCGAGACGTCCAACCAAGTTTCAGTGGGAGAGATGCCATTTGCATTGTGTCACACTCCCAATTTCCTACAGAGAAATGCCGTGCAGTCATAATACTAAGCTAATGCTCAGTACGTTACTCTACAAATCTATCATAATACAGAGAAATTTATTCGTAATATAAAGAAAATGGTCATAAGTTACGTAAGTTACACCTTCTTTGCGCCGTCATAATAAGCTTTTTGTTCGTAGTACGAAGAAAAGGCTCATTGGGAGTGCACATCCATGTTCAAGCGAACGTGAAATCCTACCGAGACAACCTTCTCGCGTTCCAACGGACGTGATGTCACATTCGTCGGAAAACTGTGCTAAGAAGTGTCAGGATATTTTCACCAAACTTACGTCGACGGTCGAAAGCAGAGGTAGCACGAAAGCACCGAGGAGGTAAAAAGCCACCAGCGGCTCGAGCAGCCGATTGACGGAGATTGCCGCTTTGAGGAGGTCGCTGTGCAGCCTCGCCAACTCGACTGAGCAGGGTCCAACCTCAAATTGGTTGAACCAAAAGTCAGTCAGAAATTGTGAAATGCCTGCGAGAATGCGTTGGTCCAAGGACTGCTGTTCTGAAGTGTGTGCCCGACAAAAGCACACAATTGAGAATGTGTGCTCTTTCGTGTGCATTTTCAAGAGTGTGCCATGCACACCAAGTGCACACACATGCATTTGCACAGTTCGAATAATGTAGCAAAATCCTTCGTTATACGATGTACTTCTTTACACGGTAAAAACGGAACCTGGTTTCCCAGGAGGCCAGTGGTGAAGGCATAGGCGATTCCCAGGGAGTTCCTGGGAAAACCAGGTTCCGTTTTCAGCGTGTAGGAGCCGAAGCAGATCTGTATGCCTTCTTTATCCTAGCTATCCTAGAGCTCTTACCATTATGAAGCAGATGCTTCGCAGGATTTTTGGGAGTGCAGAAGCGGCCCAAAACTTGGCACATCCGCGTTTTTGACGGTTTTGACGGGACGGTTTACTTTGGGACACGAGGCGTTAGCTACACTGAAAAACCAAACATGGTCTCCGCACCACAGGTGTGGTCAAATGGGTGCCATTTTGACCGCATTAGTTGGTGCGGTCAAGACCACGTTTGGTGAGGTCTAGACCACGTTTGGTGTAGTCTTTCCATGCAATTACCACACCAAACGCACTGAAAACGTAATGGTCGGACACATAGCCAAGTTATGGTGTGACAAAAAGTCACGCCGAAAATTGGCGTGACACGAAATTTACGCCGATGAACGGCGTGACATGTGAGTCACGCCGTCATTTGGCGTGAATGACACCGGGTTTTAATAGACAAGTCATGCCAAAAAGCGGCATGACAAGAAATTCACACCAAAAATTGGCGTGAATTTTTGCTTTACGCCGATTTTTGGCGTGACTTTTGTGTCATGCCGTTTATTGGCGTGACCCTTTATTCACGCCTCTGCAGCGGCACGAAGGCACGCCGATAGATTTTCAGTGTGCGGTCTAGACCACACCAAACGTGGTCTAGACCCATGGCACCCATTTGACCACATCAGTTGGTGCGGTCTAGACCACGTTTGGTTTTTCAGTGACTCGGTTGGACCCTCAAGCTTCGGACTCACCTCCGTTAAATAGTTAATTTGAGTCTGCAGGTGGGCCAGACATCGGTGGATGACCAGAAGGACAGGCAGAATGAAGCCTAGCAATGAAGTAACAATGGCTGGAGCGCCACACATCATCATTACCGATGTGACCCTGAAAGAAAGACACTGCAGTGCATGCACTGAAAAAGGTCTTCGAAGGATCTGCTTCATGTTTGCAAAAAGAAAATGGTGGCACTCACTCTTATACCAGGAACGTGACATCACGTTGAAACGAATGTGACAAAAAGTCTCGCTTCGTTAAGAAGTGTGTCACATTCGTTTCGACATGACACTGTGGCAAAAAGGTACGGAAAATCCTGTTAATTTTTTTGCCAGGATTCTCCGTAGCCCTCTTATCAATATTCTCCGTAGGCTCTTACAGTATTCTCCGTAGGGCCGCACAGTATTCTCTGTAAATCCGCACAGTCTTCTCCGTAGGACCTCGAAGACTGTATAGTCCTACGGAGATCACTGTGCGGTCCTACGGAGAATACTGTGCGGTCCTACAGAAAATACTGTAAGAGCCTACGGAGAATATTGATAAGGGGCCTACGGAGAATTACCACAAGCTGTTTACAGAATTTTCCGTAGCTTTTTGCCACAGTGGAATCAGACTAATTCACATTCAAACGAAAAGACACGATCCTAAAATAAAACGCGACATTCTGTCTCATTCGTTTCAACGTGATTGTCATGTTATGGAATGGGGGTGTTCTTGCACCATTGAAGAAATGATTCGAATAGCGAGGGATTTTGCTTCATGATCTTGCCTAAACTTTCGGCTTAAATTGGGGCTCTGGAATGAGTTGAGTGCATTATGCGGAGTCCAGTCGGACGTGCACATCGGAATAATCTGATCGACTTCCAGCTCGACTATTGTGAATTGAACACTTTCCCCGCCGCTGAAAAGTGTGTTGGTCTCATGCCATGAGCCGCTCTCCCCAATGCTACACTGCAAATCCAAGTGTGGGACAGGCATGCACTAACTTGGGACAAACTGTCACACGCTTGAAAGCAAACTGCACTCTTAAAACCTTACGAAGTATTTTGAGCATACATATAACAAACTAAAATACTTTGTTATACGAAGAAATAGTTCGTAAATTACGAAGTATTGTAAGCTTACGTATGCTCAAAATACTTTGTTATACAAACTACTTTTCTTTGTAAGGCCCAAGTAGTTTGTAAGGTTTTCTCAGTGTGTCACACGCTTGAAAGCGTGTGACAACGCGTCCCACGCTTGCAGGTGTGGGACACGGATTAGTCCTACGCTTACAAACGTGGGACACGGTCTGTCCCACGCTTGTAGGCGTGGAACAGTTTGTCCCACGTTATCTACACTCTTAAACCCTTACGAAGTATTTTGAGCATACATATAACAAGCTAAAATACTTTGTTGTACGAAGAAATAGATCGTAAATTGCGAAGTATTTTCTTTGTAAGCTTACGCATGCTCAAAATACTTTGTTATACAAACTACTTTTCTTTGTAAGGCCCAAAATAGTTTGTAAGGTTTTCTCAGTGTAGAGCATGCCTGTCCTACACTTGGATTTGCAGTGCACATTTGGTCACGATTATTGGACTGTCCTCGCCGCATAAAAGGAGTGACGTCTGACGTGACCCTGAAGACCCTGAAGTGTCCCAAGGAATCACACGAGGGGGCAACCACATTGGATGTGAGGGGACACAAAATTTCTTAAGGGGGCTCATACAAGTTAAAAGCACTTTTTTTTAAAAAAATTGATGTAGACGGATTAAGATTTTACAATTTCTGTCTTAAATCCTTTTAGATAATTGAGTAAGCTTCATTTTGGCTTAAGGGAAAGTGACTTTGGACATTTTTTGGAGATTTAGTCGAAACGTTTAAAATTTTGCTTCTCGTAAGATTTTGTTCGCATACTTGCTCAGATCTGTGGGGAAAAAATCAGGGAGACTCATCCCCAGTAGTGTCATAGAATTGACTACAATGGGCTTTATATCTGCAATAGTTTTCAAGAAAAAAATAAAAACATTTTTTTTAACAATTTTTCAAACAAATTTTTCAACAAAAATTGTTTTTATTTTTTTTTTTTGAAAACTATTGCAGATATAAAGCCCATTGTAGTCAATTCTATGACACTACTGGGGATGAGTCTCCCTGATTTTTTCCCCACAGATCTGAGCAAGTATGCGAACAAAAACTTACGAGAAGCAAAATTTTAAACGTTTCGACTAAAACTCCAAAAAAAGGGGATGGCTTTACTGTATCCCCGCACGCCTGAACCAAATCATTATTTATCAATTTTCTCATAAAACATAAAATAATCATCAAAATTACAAAATTATCTGAAATTATTACACAATATTGCTAATTAATTGAAATTAATCAGTATTTTTTCAATTAAATTATTATTTTATCTCAAATGTTTGCAGTAAGGTGAGGCTTGTGGTGGACTGCTCCCAGGCGGGTGAACTGACAGCGTGACTCGAGGCTGAATCTGGTTGTGCCTGATATTTGAATTTGAACCTAGCCGTCGGGCGGGAGACATATACACCTGAAACTAGAAGGTCCAACCTATCCTAACCAAACCTAACGGACTTGCCACAGATCTTACCATACTCGCGACAGATCATACTCTAACACGATAGATCTTACTCTAACGTGGCACATCTCACGCTACGCGTAACAGATCATTCTCCAACGCGGCAGATCTTACGCTACTCGTTACAGATCTTACTCTAAAGCGGCAGATCCTTTGCTGCTCGTGACAGATCACGCTCAAAGGTAGCAGATCTCACTTCACGTGACAAGTTCTTAGTCTTACGCGGCTGAGCTTACGTTTCTCGTTACAGATCTTACACTAACGCGGCAGACCCTGCGCTACTCGTGACAGATCCTACTCTAACGTGGCAGATCTTGCACTCGCGTGACAAGTTCTCTCTCTTACGCAGCTGATTTTACGCTACTCGTGACAAATCATAGCCTGACCCAACAGATCTCTACCGCCACTCTTGCAATGTCAATTCACCCACCTGGAAGTTGTCCACTCAAAGCATCGCCTTACTCCAAACGTTTAAAATAAAATAATATTTACTTGTATTAATACTGATTAATTTTAATTAATTAGCAATACATTGTAATAATTTCAAATAATTTTGTAATTTTGATGACTAATTTGTGTTTAATGGGAAAATTGATAAAGATTGATTTGGTTCAGGCGTGCGGGGATACAGTGAGCCACTCCCAAAAAATGTCCAAAGTCACTTTCCCTTAAGCCAAAATGAAGCTTACTCAATTATCTAAAAGGATTTTAAGACAGAAATTGTAAAATCTTAATCCGTCTACATCAAAATTTTTTTTTTAAAAAGTGCTTTAACTTGTATGAGCCCCTTAAGGCTTAGGATTTCGTTGGATTTTGCAAGATTTTAACCGATATTCCGCCCAAAAATAGCTTGTTTTTGGCCTTTTCTGGATCAAGATTTCAGATTTCCCAGAGATTTCTAGCGCAAAGGGGACACAAGATTTGTAGAGTGGGTGCCCCCTCGGAAACACACGTGGCGTCCCGCCTTGTTCGTCGTGGCGTCCTTATCTCTTCGTGTGACACGACATTTTTTGTTTACTACAATCATGGCAAAAGGCATCGCGCTTCCGACTGTCGCCACTGCAAATGCAAAGGCGATACTAAAGTTCATTTTTTTGCGATACAATTGAGTACTGTATTGCCAATAAATGGCCTTACGGAAAAGTATTGCCTTCAGAACGGTGATACAAAAAAGTATCGCCAAAATTCGGCAATACTTTTGGATATTGCCAAAACCACGGCATTAAACTAAGGTCTTGTCCCCTTGATTTGTTCGACGTTTACTGCCAAGTCGTGGCAATACTCCAAATATTTTTTTGTATCGCCGTTCTGAAGGCAATACTTTTCCGTAAGGCCGTTTATTGGCGGTACTGAATTGTATAGCCAAAAAAGGTACTAAAAGTATTGCCTTTAGACTTACAGTGGCTCTACCACCGTGTGGTTAGACGCTAACACGGTGATTTTAAGACCCTTTGGGCGGAAATTCGGTCCGTTTTGAACTCCTTCGTACTCAAACAGCGGTCTAAATCACCTAAAACGTCGAAAAAAACCAAGTAGATCTCGAAAAGAATGTAGGAAATGCATTGAAGGTCAGGTGATTTTTTTTTCAGACGAAATGCTATAAAATCACTACCTTTCACCAATTTGATGTGAACGGAACGTCCTTTACGAGATAGGGGCAGGACACTGGAAAATTAGGACATACCATGCAAAAGGACTAAAATATATAACTTTTATGCTGTTATTCCGATCCCATCCAGGTCTTACGTGCTCCCTACACTGCAAACCTAACTGTCTACTTAGTACACACTTAAAAATGTGTGCTTGCAAGTACACAATTACAAACGCATGCTTGGCCAAGTACACACTTACAAATGCATGCTTGCAAGTAGACACTTACAAACGCATGCTTGACGCCGTATAACTCCATGCATCAAGCATGCGTTTGTAAGTGTGTACTTGCAAGCATACATTTGTAAGTGTGTACTTAGCCAAGCATGCGTTTGTAAGTGTGTACTTGCAAGCACGCATTTGTAAGTGTGTACTTAGTAGACAGTTAGGTTTGTAGTGTACATTGAAGCAACAAAACAATTCCATTTCGGAGTGTGAAAGATCAGATTCAGTCACGGAGGTCGGGTCACGTAAAACTGATAGAATATTGAGTATTACTTGCATTTCTTCTGCCAAAACATCGCTTGAGCGTCCCATTCCTCTTGTACATTCTTTTCCAGATCTACTCGAATTTTTTCGACGTTTTAGGTGATTTAAACCGCTGTTTGAGTATGAAGGAGTTAAGGTAGATCAACACGGACTGAATTTTCGTCCAAAGAGTCTTAATATCACCGAGTTAGACAAAGAAATGTGTTATTTTGGTAAAAATCGAAAAAAATAACCCACCCCTGACAGCATAACACACTGAGAAAACCTTACGAACTATTTTGGGTCTTACAAAGAAAAGTAGTTTTATAACAAAGCATTTTGAGCATTCGTAAGCTTACAAAGAAAATACTTCGTAATTTACGAACTATTTCTTCGTATAACAAAGTATATTAGTTTGTTATATGTATGCTCAAAATACTTCGTAAGGTTTTAAGGGTGTGGGCTTTGAATTTTACACTGTCAGAAAATGCCGAAAAAAATGGAAAAATCATGGAGTTTTTCGGAAACTTCTGCATGGAGCTCTCCATTAATGCAAATTCTGGGCTTTCTCCGAAAAAATTCGGAATTTTGAACAAAAATGCACGCTTCACTATCACAAAAACACGAAGAAAAGGTTTGCAACCAGTTAAAATTTGAGGGAAAGGTGAACCCCTACTTCTTGAGCTCAGTTTTCATAATATTAAGGGAAAGCTACAGGATATAAGTCAAATGAGCTCGAATGAGATTGTCCCTTCTTTGACCATTTCAGACCAAAAAATGCTTCAGCGAAGTCCTCTTTAATATATCTGAGAAAAGACTTGCATTTTACCTCCTATCTGGACCCAAGGAATGCTCCGAAGAACATCTGTATAAGCCCTGCGAAAATCTCTCCGAAAAAAAATGGAAAATGAATGGAGTCTCCATGAACGTGATTATAGGGTTTTTCTCCATAAAATTTCGGAGCTAATTTATAACAGTGTAAAGTTTTTTCACCAGTTCAGTCGGGGAACCCATTCAAAATCACATTTTTTCAAAAATAAGCGCAAGTCTACCGTGTGGTGTTGACTAGACTGCAAGGCCTAACAGCGCTGATGATTTTTCTTGAAGGGGGTAATCACGTTTGCCTGAAACTCTGTATTGCGTTTACTTAGTTGTACGTGAGAAGTTTTGAGTCCATCGTCTGTAGTCACTTGGTTGCGGCTCCCTGTCGTGACCTGTGTTTAGACGCGTGATAGCCTTAGTCACGACGCGCGTGGTCGAGCTAGAATGGGGCTGTTGTCTTGCCGGTATAAAAGAGCCCCGCAGGTCTCGTCAAACATGTAGATAGCTCAGAAATCAGCTGAACCATGAAGTTCGTCGCCGCCCTCCTCGTCGCTGTGCTGTTGGTCGTCTGCGCAAGCTTCACGGTAAATGCGAACTTCCTCTTTGCCCCTCAGTTTGGCGACCAATGTCCATTGTTCGCGTTAAAAATGAACAGGTCGTGATGGCAACACGGCAAAAACGGTTCCTGGTTTTCCCAGGAACTCCCTGGAAATCGCCGATGTCTCTACCATGGGGTTCCTGGAAAAACCAGGTACCGTTTTTACAGTGAATGAAACACACTTAGTGTTTACTCGGTACACACTTACGTGCTCTATGTCTGTGCACAATATACAATGAAGTTTTCGGAGCACTAGCATATTTTGAAGTGAGGTTTACATAAATATCAGTTTGAATTACTTCCGAACAAATTCGGGCGATGAAGGTTTTCTCACACAAACTCGGGTGACGAAGGTTGCGTCAACCCAACTTTAAGTCCAGGCCAAGACTCTTTCGTTCTCAATGCGGACTTTTGAGGCATCTTGGCTGGCTGTTCCGCTTGGAGACCAGTTCGCACTAGCTGCACTGTTATTCAACGAATGTGACGTCACATTCGTTAAAATGTTGATCCTTGCTGAAACGAATGTGACACCCGCATCAGGCGGCCGCATGATGGCCGTGTCACGTTCAAACGAATGTGACATCGCACTCAAACGAACGTGACAAAATTCACATTCTAACGGAAACATCCACATCCACGCAAGTGACCTCTTACCGATACTCGTATCCTTTATACGAACGAGGGGTGACCCACTGTAAAATTTTGTGTACAATGATTGTGTGAATGTGCAAGAATGTGCAAGTGTTCTTGCTTTTTTGCCACACATGTTGCCTACTTACAGGCGTTTTTGCCACCTAAATATGGAATGTGGTCAAATTTTGTACAACTAATGTGGGAAGCTATTTCCCCTCGTATACGAATGTTTGTGCAAACGTAATGACAGATGCATATACCAGGTGATTTCATTCTCAGTACAAAGACTTTTTCGTCCGTTCCTGGCACTCAACTATTTTGGGCCTGACAAACGAAAGAAGCTTGTCATAACAAAGTATTTCGAGCATACATAAGCTTACAACGAAAATACTTCGTAATTCACGAACTACTTCTTTGTACGACAATTTAAAATGTTTGTACTCGTGTGCTCAAATTACTTCGCAAAGTTTTAAGCGTGAAAGGTTACTTTTGTGAGTATGTTGCGGACTCGTAAACCTTTGTGATACGATGCGGATGAAATCATCCGTACTGCAAGCTGAATCCATCCGTAAGTACGTTTGCACTTCCAGCCCGGCCACACAGTAAAAACTCTACGATGAACCGCTTTGTAATACGAAGAAAATGAAGGTATTGCAAAATCTACAAAGAAATGCTTCGTATATTAGGAAGCAAAATCCTTCGCAATATGAAGCATTTCTTCATAATGCGAAGCAATTCTACAATGCCTTCATTTTCTTTGTGGTTGCGAAGCAAATGCTTCGTAGGCTTTTAAGAGTGCAGCCGGCTCCGGACACTGTCAACTGCTTTCCTTAATGCGGAATTGCAAAGAGCTCAAGCTGGCTGAATGATTCGTGGTGCTCCGTTTCATACACAAGATGATCTTTGTTTTGTGACTTACAGACGGCCTGCGACTACAATACCTGCTACTTATATTGCCTTCCTGGAACCTTGCCCGTGGGTGACCCAACCCTGTGCGTCAACGACTGCCTTCCACAGAACCCATGCCCGAAAAAATAAGGAAAAGTGCCAGAATTTCGGTACACTCTGTCATGCATAAATAAAACAACAGTTTGTCGACGATTTCTTTTTTGAATTTTCTGTCTTGGCACGTGTTTTATGTAGCCTTCTGCACAACACCGAAGGATGTCTCGGACCCAATCCACCACTTCCAAGAGATGTAATGGATCTGAGTCAAATGGGACAGTACTCTTGAATATCTGGAAGAACTTTAACCCGGGTCCACTTTTTTGATCTCAGATGTCTTCTCGACCCTAATTTCCAGTTAAATAATTTCGATTGGCAACCCCTGCAGGTTCAGGGCGAGAAAGAAGCGAATGTCATAAGAGCATTGGCGATATTGACTAACCACTGTTTTACGACGTGGATGATGTTGATATTTCTCAGGCAGAGGTAAAGGGCAATTCACGCCGATAAGAATAGGTGAGATAAAATTGCCAAAACTATTTGAGAACTGGCGTCAGATCCCCAATTTGGGACAGCGCTTGCGCGGCATTCGACTATCTGCAACCATTTTCCAGCCTGCTGAAGGGTCACGATTTTTTCCAGGCTGTTAATCGCAGACCGCTTTGGTAGTAGTTTTAAATTAGTACACCTACTTACAAATATTTAAAGCATTTTGAAATGTTAATAGAAAGGACCAAGAAATATTTGCTTTGAAAACCATTAACCTTTAACATGGGCCGACGCACCGACGTCGACGTTGTTATCCGACACTGTTTCTGTTTTTTGACATGTTCGGGATCGTGAGTGGATCAAGCAGACTACCTCAATGCGCAATGCATGGAGTTGCATGAATGATAGTGTTGGAACGAAATCTGGCGTACCTCTGAGCCGGTCCCGTCATCTTTGCGCACTGGGCGGGGTCGACTGGGAGCCAGCGACAGGCAACTTCAGCCCAACGCTCAGTCTCGGAAAACATCGTGTACATAGTTCCAACGATTACACAGCTTCCGTACACAGTGAAGAAGTTCACCTCCGCCCTGCCACGTTGAACACTTTTCCTCGCGTTTTCCTTTAAAAACAAAGAAGAAAAGAAACAAAGTGCGTTTCATTACTTGCCACCAGTTTTTCCATTCCGAAAGAAAAGAACAGGAAAAGTAGGGATATACATCGGCAACTTTGGCCCGTCCCGTACATTAAGAGATGTGCGAATTTCGCCTAACTAATGACCAAGTTCTTAAAACTCATAGATTATGGTTTATTAAAATTCATAAATATATTTGACTAAAATGGGAGAAAAGAACTTCTGTACCGACGTCCGATTTCGAGTTTGGATGATGGAATTCTGAAATACATCTTACATTAAAACACATAACAGTGTTGATAGCCAAAAATTAGTCGAATCACGAAGGCAGAAGAATTGTACATTTTCCATCGTTCAACTGTGTCACTTCAGAGGAGGTGCCTGGACCCTAACCTAATGGCCGACATCAGACGCCAGCGAGTGGCAACATGGTTTTGCGATTTTCTCAACTTCAGTGGAATATTTTGTTAAAAAATTTGAGTTAGAGGCTAGAGAAGACATTTAATAAGGCAACAGATGGTAGGTTTGTGAAACCTGCCGCTAGATGGCTAGGCCATACCGTGTGAGAAGTGGCTTGTCGACAGTTTGCGTGAAGTAATCAAACTAAACCTTCGCTTTACGTTGAATATGACAGCTCTCACTCAAGCGTTCAACTTTAACTTCAATCAGGTAGTTTTAGAAATCTAGTTATGAAAAGTCATCAGTCATGTGGATTTTAAGATACGAATTTTTACTTTTGGCAGACAATCTTAATTTTGACAACCAAGTTTCTAAGTTTTAAAGGTGGTTTTGAAATTTACCAACTCTTTATTATAATATAGTATACTTTTCATTTTAGTTTTGGTAAATGTAATAAAGTATAGCACTTTTCTGATTTTTCACATCATTTCGAAATGTTATTAAATTTAAGACATTTTCATGTCTTAAATTTCAGAAATTTTTTTTGCAGTGTATATATTATGAAGAAACGTTTCGTCTTACGAAGGATTTTGCTTCATAATCGAAGCACTTCTTCGTAGATTTTACAATGCCTTCATTTTCTTCGTATTACGAAGCGATTCTTCGTAGAGTTTTTACTGTGCTTCGAATCAAAATCAAGGCATGCCCTTTGATTTCAAGGCGGCCCTTTCACCGAGCAGTGCCTCGCACCCTGATGACTGGGAGGCGGCCCGCTGTCCGCTCGATGCCCGCGGCGACGTGCTCCATCCGCCGGCACGCGTCCACGAGCAGGTACTTGCGGTGCGTGGCCAGCATGGCGCCCACGCCCGACACGGTGCCCACGAGGATGCGCACGAACACCAGCGCCTCCCGCATCGACTGGGCGCACAGCGTGTTCACGGCGCAAATGACGTTGACGGTCCAGGCTAGAATCAAGGACACCTGCGCAACATTGAGACCGGACTGCAACCCTGTGATTTCCTTTTTTTGACTAAGAGCCCGATAACGCCCGGCTAAGCCCGTTAAAGCACTTGATCGGAGGGCGGTAACATTTCCGCCCTTTACTGGCGGTAACGACCTCTAAAGGTGGCACTTTTTCCTCACACTCTAAATGTCTTACAATGAAATTTGACCTATGTTATTCGTATGTTACAGTGAATGCGGCGCAAGCATAATGCGAAGCAATATTCCTTCGTAATACGAATCTTTTTAGCCTTTGCATTGTAAGATACAAAGAAAAACCTTCGCAATACGAAGAAAAACCACCTTCGTCTTATGCTTGCGCCATTCTCTTCGTATTATGGGAAATTCCTTCGTAAGACATTCAGAGTGCTGGCGGGCTCCAGGTTTCTTTTCCGGAGGTGGTAAAAAAAATTACCGCCCTTTTAAGACCGTTCGAACCGCTCATCGACTGATTTACCGCTTTTCTGTAAGCGTTTGGATTCTCAGGACGACAAAGAACTGAACACTTGTGTCACACGCGCTCACCCGCGCCGCTGCCACATTGAGCACGAAAGCCCTGAATCGGTGCCCGGCTGGTGCAGTTGGGTCCCTCAGGTACTGACGCCACTCCTGTATGTACTCCTCCATCTCCATCCTGCGAGAGCGGAGAAGCGCACCACGCAGAGTGGAACCTGGCGAATAGAACATTCTAGTCGTCGCCGATCGAAGAACAAAAAGAACAAAACCGGAAGCCGGGAAGAAACGGAGTAGGTATCAAGCACAGTTCCAACGAGAATGTCGACAAATATTTTTGTTTTCTGTGTCAAAAAGTGTTTGAGACTAAGGAAGGTGCTTTTGAACGAGATACACCACAGAAAACTCAAAAACTAGCCCACTCATAGAAGTCTGGGAGGCTATGCCGGGGCCAGTTCTCTATCGCACTCTACCAAAAATATCCTGTCAATGCCGTTAATTTATTACCAGTTTTCACTGTAGGTCAATTCACAGCGTTTACTGTGATCTGCTCACGCGATTTACTGTGATCCTGTTCACGGTGTTCACTGTGATCTGGTTCACAGTAAACACTGTGAGTTTGACGCCGCTGAGCACCGAAGTGCTGCAAATCAGGCTCCAATTCACGGCGTTTACTGTGGCCAGATCACAGTGAACACTGTAACCGAGATCACAGTGAACGCCGTGAACTAGTTCACAGCAAACGCCGTGAATTGCATAACAGCAAACATTGGTAATAAATTAACGGCGTTGACAGGACATTTTTTGTAGAGTGTCTAAGAGCGCACATGGTATGCCAGCATGCCTGGAGCATGCCAGCAAGCACGCTCTAGCTACCGCATGCCTGCCAAGCATGCACTTACTACTGCATGTACACGCTGAATAGAGTGTAATGAGTACTCTCTTGAATTTGCAGAGTACGTGCAGGCGTTTTTCGGCTTAGCTTTATCTGAGTGTAGGCTCGGCGCGTACAATGTGTGCTACAAGTGGCAGATCCCTTGCATTCGAAACAAAACATCAACGCCGCACTGCAAATCCAAGTGTGAGACAGTCTCACACTACTTAGTGCGAACCACTATTTCTCACTATTAATTGTGAGACACGGTTTGTCTCACACTATGGCTCCCAGTATGGCTCCCTGTGGTCTAATGCTACAGACCCACGCTTGTAAGTGCGGGGACAAACGGAGTCTCACACTTGCAAGCGTGAGACAAACGTAGCTCACACTTGAGACATAGTGGTTCGCACTAAATAGTGTGAGACTGTCTCACACTTGGATTGGCAGTGCGAAATCAAAGAGACAAACAGTCACGTGCCCACCGCGAGAAACTCCCCGACCGATGCCACTGCGCCGCGAAAACTGAGCAAGAGCGAATCCGCGGCACGCAGCGGATGCATCGACCGGCGTCCATGATTGGCATCCGTAATGGTTCGCGTGATCAAATGTTAACCGCCACCTCGCCTCGCTCCACAACAACTTCCCTTGCCGAGGTGGTTACAGTAAACGAAAGTGGAGCGCCGATTCGGCCGCATATTCGACTCATGGCAATCGGAGTCTCTTTCGACTTTAACAATGGCGGCAGTGTATACTACAAAGCCTCAAGCTTCACTTCTACTTCACTGGTTTTCGGACAAAGGGACTTAAGTCCACATTTTGGTCAAAATGGTTTTATTGTTTTCTCAGACTGCTGGCGAGACTTGACATATAATGGTGAAAGACCTACGATTTTAAGATAATTAGTTCGGAAGTGATAGCGTTGAACCGAACAACTTAAGTCCTCTCGTTTTCTGACAAAACAACTCAAGTCCACCCCATTTCTGACAAAACAGCGCAAGTCTATCCGTTTTCTGACAAAAGCACCTTAGTCCACATGTTTTCTGACAAAAGAACCTGAGTCTACATGTTTTCTGACAAAAGAACCTAAGTCCAGGCGTGACGTTTTCGGACATAACAACTTAAGTGCACCCGTTTATTGACAAAACCACCTAAGTCCATATAGCCTTAAGTCGATAGGACCAGAAATCTGGTGTGGACTTGTGCTCTTTTGTCAGAAAACAACTGGACTTAAGTTGTTATGTCCGAAAACGAATGGACTTAAGTTGTTTTGTCAGATAACGGATGGACTTACGTCAAACTGTGATATAAACTTGTGAATATTTGGGTAAGAAATGCCATAACTGGCCATCGAACAATTGGTATCGTTTTCTGAATACCACGTTATCTTTCACCTGAAATCTCATGACCATATTTGTCTTAACAAAGCTTTAAACTACTTAATACTGTCTCCTGAAAAATTAACATAAATGGACTTACGGCCCTTTGTCCCAAAAGCAGTACACTGTTTAAAAAAAGTGCTGTAAATTAACAGCACTTATGCTGTTATGTTTGATAGCAACATGACTTGTTTTATTACAAGCATGTTGTAGTCGGTGCTGTTTTCTGACAGTTCGATTGTAATAAAACTAGACTTCTTTGGAGTCTTCGACAATGTCTTCCCAACATTTATGTTGATTTCATCGTGCTGTTATTAAACAAGACCCTTGTAAACTGACAACAATATATGTTTTAAGATTGCAAAAGGCTGTTTCTAAACATGAAACCTGTTCAACGACAACACAACTGTTTTGAATCACGATTACATTATTGTTACTTGACAAGGAAGTTGTTATGAAACGAAAGTGCTGTTTCTGGATGGGTTTCCCGTTCAGATACAAAACAATACGGTTGTTATTTAACAGCATTACTGTAGGTAATTGTGTTGTAATATTACAGTGGATTTTTAACAGTGTAGACACTAAATACACTGCGAACCCTTGCAAAATGGAAAATATATGGGCATTATATGGACAAAATATATGGCCCAACATGTATTGACGACATATGTGTAAAAGATAATTCAGCAAGATACTTTTCCGATATAGAAAATATGTGGCAAATATATAAATTTCATACATTGCTCTATATATGTAGGCAATATATAATGTCAACACACCATGGAGTCTGACGACTCAGAGACTTCCTTTACTATTAGCAAAGAATGTAAACTTCGCCTTGCGAGGACATCCAATAGTGATCCTACCGTATTCTCTTAGAAAAACTTTTCGCGCTACACCCAAAAAAGACATTTAAAATTTCCGAACTGTTTCCGTTAACTTGTTAAACAGGATTTCTCAAAATTTCTTAGAGACTTAAACGCATAGAAAAGAACCTTGCCCCTGCTCAATATATGGCGTCAATATATTTTACAAGATAAAATCATGTTGAGAAATATAGCCGCCTTTCAACATCAAGTGCCAAGATTTTAAGAAAAGTTACTTGAAAAGTCTGCCCTCCTCACCCTGCCCCATCCCACGACGGGCACCGTGTCAGATATTGAAACATACATTTCGGGAAGGTAATATTATATGGGGAAATATATGCATCATATATTAACGGGCACCAAGATGTACCCCCATATATAAACCACGTATGGCGCAAGATAATTTGCAATATATTGAGCAAGATACAATTATATTGACAATGCATGAAACATATATGGAGTCATATATTGACACATGTTTTCCATATATTTTCCTTTTTGCAAGGGAATGAAAGAGTCACCACCATCGCCCTTTTGTTGGATGACGCACGCATCGTCGCCCAAATTTGGGTGACGAGCCAGCGGTGACCAAATTTTGGGCAGTCATAAAATCGCGAGGGGGTAAACACTCGGGGTTTTGGCGTACAGACTACTCCCTATTACGCGTATTACGGGTATTACGGATGTATTACGCGTATTACAGGTGTATTACGGGTATTACGTGTGTATTACGGGTATTACATGTGTATTACGGGTATTACAAGTGTATTACGGGTATTACAGGTGTATTACGGGTGTATTACGGTGCGCATGGAATATCAACGGAACAGTTTCTATGTAAAAAAAAACGTAACTATTACGGACTCAAAAGGCGCGCCAAACACCTATGATACACGTAATTCACCCGTAAAACGCGTAATACAACAGTAATACGCGTAATGCACCCGTAATACCCGTAATACACACGTAATACGCGTAATGCACCCGTAATACCCGTAATACACACGTAATACGCGTAATGCACCCGTAATACCCGTAATACGCGTAATACAACCGAAATACACGTATTTCACCCGTAATACACGGAAAAGTGTGGGTGATAATGAAAATTTCTGTACCAATTATCTAGGAGGTCATTGAGGGGAGGTTATTTCACAGGGCCCATTGGGGGTATTACGCGCGTATTACGGGGTATTACAGGGTATTACAGGGTATTACGGGGTATTACAGGGTATTACGGGGTATTACAGGGTATTACAGGGTATTACGGGGTATTACAGGGTATTACAGGACAGCTTGTACAGGGTATTACACGAGTGTTTACCCCCTCGTAAAATCGTCACCCAAGTTTGGGTAACGCCGTCGACGACGCCGTGAGCCGTGAGGTCCCCGATGACGTACTTCCGGGGCCACCACGATGATCCAATGTGGCGTTGAGGCCTCCGGTCATCGTGCTGGCCCCGGAAGGACGTCTATCGTGGACCTCACGGCGTCGTCGACGGCGTTACCCAAATTTGGGCGACCAAACGCCTGTTACCAGATTTCGAGTGATGAATTTTTCGTCTCCCAAAATTGGGCAACGAAGTTGCGTCACCCATTTAAAGGGTGATGGTGGTGACCCATTCATTCTCAGTGATATGTCCTGGGACTTTTTATGTCCCACGGTTTATGCAATTTTTGGCACATCCAACGCTTTTCAGGGTCTCGTCTTCGAAAACACGGGTGAGTTTCACCCCCTTCCGGAGAGCAGAAGTTCCTCAAATCACAGGGGGTGAAAGGGGGTGAAGTGTCTCGGCCTCTCCGACGGGTGACTACGGGGTGCACAGGCTTCGACGATGTATCCTCTTGATCAGGGCGACCGAGAGGATGACGTCAGCCCGATCTCAGGGCCGTACTTCAAAAATTGTGGATTTTGAAGGGGGTGGGGGTTGCAGGGGGTAGGTTTGTCCTGGAGGGCTCCCCGGGGTCGCATTTTGTAGAGGACGTCAACGACAACCGCTCTGAACCGTTTTTCGACCCTATTGACCTTTTGACCCGGCTAGGCTGGCCGCTTCAAAAGTTGCGTTTTTTACATCAAATTTGCAGGGGGTAAATCAACCCCTCCCGGTCCAAGTCCGTCAGTGAAACTTTTAACGAGTCTGAAGGACACATGAAGGCAAAATTGCAGCCTTCTAGCTCTAAAACTCGAGATTAGAGGTCACTTTGAAAAGGTATATAATCCTGGAAAGGGGCTGAGAATCAAGTGAAAGAACACACAAATTTAATAATTTTATTGGAATTGAAATCAAGAAAAAAAACATATCTTTTTAAGAAAAGGTGGATACTTTACATTTAAAACACAATTCCTTCCATTTAACCAAATGAAAATGCTTGACGGCAGTTTCCTGATGTCCTAGAAATAATTGTAACGCAAAGATTATTTCGTGGTAATAATCTTATTCTTCTGATCAAGCAATGAAAGCCAAATCCCAATAGTTGTTATCTTATTGTTATTTGTTATAGAAAGCTATGCCATATCAGGCACATATAAAACGTGTTACTTTCGTACAGCCCGATCGTAACTTTCTACCCACGAACCTAACTTAGTGGACACACAACGTCACTAGGCCAGCAGGCTGGTGGGGGTGGTTGCGTACTACTGGTTTGGACTACGTATTTGGATCCACTGGGCGCCCAGTGATCAGGGCAATACTGTGTCAATTTACTGTGGACGTCCATTCCAAACAGTACCAACAACCTGATGCTGTCAAGAAGCATAAAGTGACTCCTGTAAATGTCACGAGCGTTTGCAGGTACCTCAAGGCTTACGATATACGGCCGTATGACCTCCATGTAACGTTGGATAGCGCTGTGGAGACCATCAATCGCCCAATACTGTAGTGTATCATTTTCTTCAAGCAGGCGATGTATTTGCACGTCGAAGCCCTCTTTGGGATCGTCTCCCCTGTACCTGGGCGCAGGCCCAACGACGATGTTAGAAACCATCCAAAAGAACATATAGCCGTTAAGGGGCTTAAGGAACCTGGGATCGTCATTTTGTCGGGCCAGTAGGGCACTGTGGTGTGCGCAATTCAGCTCCTCTTGACGATAGCCCGTGTTTTCTGACGTTGCCATCCCCGCTAAGTCAATCAACAGTTCGGTCAGCGGAAATATACTCCCAACAGCCGCAAATCCGTCATACTACGAAGAAAAACAAGAAAATGATCAAGGAAATGCATCGACGAGGGGGAAATCACTCGCGTAATAAGGGAAGGTGGGGTACCATGTGACACGGCCACCATGTGACTTTGGCTTTTTCTCCCAAACGGCTTGCTATCCAACAGCGGTAAGAAGACTCAAAGGAAGGTATCATGAAGGAGAATCGACGTGCAGTAGGTCGTGACTCTCCTTCAAAAAGGGACGGGAATGGTAGCGATCAGAATTGGAAATAGTCTTAAAATAGCTCATTAAAAATTTTTTTCTTTTTCCCGCCGCGTCCGTTTTTTCCCTTTTAAAAATACATTTTAAGGACTATGCTCTGCAAGATGTTTTCTTTGATTTTTTAAGCGCAAAATAAGCTTTGGCTCGATTCTCTACGGCACAAACTTTGAGGTTATGCTTTTTCCCCTAAAACTGTTAATCTGGGCACCATGTGACACTACTGTCATTCGCTATGGGATTCCACGATTCACTCAGTTGAATGTGTTCAGCCCATGACATTTGTACACTAATAACTAAAACCTTCATTGCTCGGGAACCAAAGATGATAAATTGATAAACTCAACGGAAATAAAAAGCTGGAAGTCTTCTTCATTCATTCTTTTTGCGTATAGATACGCTGAATAGGATTTAAACCCTGAAAAAAGGCCACCGTCACATGGTGCACTAAGGCTGTCACATAGTGTACCACGTGGGGTACGAAGTGACACTTTGACTTGGCCCATACAACTCGGGATAACTCAGCAACCAAAACAGATAAATTAGAAATCTCAACAGAAATTTTAAGGTGAAGAATCATTTTGTTCACATGACTACTTATGGATGTAATATGATTGGTAGTATTGGGTTGACGGGCACTTAACAAAAACCGTCACATGGTACCCCACCTTCCCTTACGTCACCGATTCCTTGTATTACGCGTATTCGTAATAGCGTAATAGCCAAAATTTTCTGGATTTTCCCTTACAAGGGTCTGATTAGCTAAAATCCCGATATTTGCAAACGTAACAAGACTGCTGCAATAGCGTTATTAAGCGTAATAGGGAGTAGTCGTGTCACAATTTTTGTGAATGATTTCCCTCTCGGGCATAGACGATTGTGCACAAAGCTTCACAAGCTGAAAACCGTAAAACTCGTAAAAAATCCCTACTTACCTGGAAACGCAGATGGGCTACCACGGCAGTGCTGAAGAAGGCTCGAAAGAGGTTATAAGGAATTATATGGTGTCGCGCCAGTTGTGGCCCCTTTGAACAATGCTCTATTCTTAGATGGGATCGCCCCCTGGATTTTCCAGATCTCGGTGGTGTGACAAGTCCGTAACTGCCAGCTTCCCAAAAGCAGGGCTCGTTGTCATGAAATTTTTTAACGGCATCAAGAGAAATGGGATCTCTTACTTCCTCAAGGAATTGTCTTGGCGTTGATGTTTGGAATCTAGGCGTAGGGGGAGTGCGTCGGGGCCTGTTGGGAGAGACTATTTGGGTTTCCTGCAAAAGGAGAATTTCAACTTTTAGTAAATACGTATTTCATAACGAATACTGTTATCCAAAGTGTGATAATGAGCTCGTTCTCAATGCAATGCCATTTTTTTTCATTATTAGCGAAAACGTTATGCACTGTAACTGTTAAAACATTGCAGGGCATTAAACGTATGTCATCACTTTTATCACACTGAAATGTCATGATCTGGGCCAAAACGAAAATTAATTTCTTGCACTTTTAACGCGATAATTTTTTAATGCTGCCACACATTCGATGAGCTGAAGGGACCAAATTATCATATTTATCACTGCCAATTGTAGAAAACTTTATCACATTGGAAATGTCGGTTTAATTGTGCGAAAATGAACTTATCCCAAGGGGGAAACGACTGAAAAATTTTGTGTACATCGGATGGTGATTTAAGCCCTTACGAATTTGTCATATAATCATGCAAGCACTATAGAAAGAGACAACGATCGATTTTGAGACCAAAATCAGAACGAAAAGTCGTTTTTTCCGGGGGTGTCCGAAAATACCCCAAAACACGGAGTAACTTCGGACACTGCTTCGGACCCTCCACTGTAAACACGGTGAGGCGCAGATATTTGAAATTAGCGGCAAATCGAAGCTAACGGTGGGTAGATGATAAATTTTAACCCTCAAGTCCGTGACAACACCACAACTTTCACATTTTCAAAAAAAAAAAAAAAAACTCTCAAAAGTGTCCGAAGTTACGCCGTTTCACGGTATTCGCTAATATTAAACTAATTTGAACTTATTAGCTCTGAGAACGGTGAGAATAAATTTAAATTCAACTTCCGTGCCAAGTAAGTTCGGAAGAGAATGAGATTTTAGTCCCCGAAAACCCAAGTTCACATGTTTTAATCAAATACTTCGCCTCCGGGTTTATTTTCAAAAGGAGGGGCTCGTTTAAACAAATGCAAGTTGAAACTAAAATTATCTCGATTCGAACATTTTTTTTAAAATCATTGCAAATCATTTCTAATATTTGCAATGAAATGAACCGAGCCGTACAGTGCTTGGCACAAGTTCAACTGATTACGCCTGACAGAGCGACTTGACAGATCGCTGGTCACCCTGACCAGCCATTGTAGCCGATTGCTGATGGGCGAATAACGCGTGCTGCGGTGCCGAGGTCGCAGTGATAACGCACGCTGCCCCCATGCGGCGGGAGCATCCTACATTAGAGGCGACCGTCGCTTTGTTACCTGTGTCTTTGGTAAGCTGTCGGTAGGAGTGTTCACAAGACAAATCTCCTCTTTGTACTTGCAGACCACATTTGCCACGGAGGAGACGTTCATCTTAGTGCACAGCACAGGCTCGCACAGTTGAGACGAAAACACGAATTGGTTGTCCACTTGCACCAAATCACGTTCGACAAGTTCCATAGGTGTAACTAGGAAAGTCAATTCACAAGCATTAGGTTAGTAACTGCCTTATGTTAAATGACATGAATATTAAGCTTTCAGAAATATATGCCGGCTTACTTTCGGTGAATCGGACTTTCAGGCGCTCGTTGGTTTCCATTCGGACACTGAAATTTCTGCTTGATGCATCGACGGGTACTACAGCAGCTCGATCGAAGTTATCTCCGAAGAAAAGAACCATTGAAGAGTTTTGGTTCTGTACTCTGAATCTTTCGATTGTGCCGACTTTGATGTCATCGGTATCAGTACTAACCTGTAAGCAATTCACCACATTTTTCATAAGACGTCATACACTTCGAAACGCACTAGCACGCTCCCACCTTTAAGTAGAAACATAGATTTGACGTGTTTTGTCAGATTATAAATGTGCCTTTTGACGTATTTTAGTTCAGTTTGCGCCAAAATGTTCCTCTTTTTAACTGCGTTTGGGAGGTTCAAGGGTTTTGTAATTGAACTTTAAGTGAAAAAACTGAACGTTAACAATTGGTCTATATGCAAAACTAATTACCTTTTAGCAACTTCAAAAATGTGCACAAGCCAAAGTAATAGGAATTTTGAGATGGGGTTTGCGGCATTCGACTCGGGGTGCATAGCAAAAAGATAAGATAAAATAAAAAAGAAGGCAAAAATTTGACGATTTTCACTGATGTGAGAGAAATGGAACAAAGTCAAAATTTTGAACGCAATTTTCTCAGAAGTAGTACCTTTGATTTTTTTGGTTTTTTGATATGGTATAGTCCACACTTAAGTCTAGCAACCCTCAAAATTTGGCTGGAAACTTCGTTCAAGTAAGTAAGAAAGTCGATTTAATGTTCTAGTAATTCGGCAAATTTTCGATAGTGGGATTGGTGTGGACCTGGGAAATATGCATTTCAAAGGCCGCAGGGTCTCGATCCTGAACTTCTAGTGTCGCTCGGAACAGACATTTGTGGTGCAGAAAAAGGTCAATTTTCGTTTTTCAAATTCTCATGGGCGGATCAAGAGGCGTGACTTTTCAAAATTCAGTTTATTTGGATGTCGCATGTCGATTTCTATGTTTTCAGGGGGCGCAGATAATCAATCTTGAACGATTTTTCTCTAAAGCTGATCTAACGTATCGTCAAAACATCAAATTCGTAAATAGAAGATCAAAAAGCTCGCAAATGTGAACATCTTTGGCCCATTCAGAAAAGCAAAGCTAGTGTCGCTGGAAACAAAAGAACCGAACTGCGACATCCAAAAATCCTCAATTTTGAAAAGAGGCCCCTCTTAATCCACCCCTATTTTTGAAATTCCCAGCTTTGTCGCTTCATTTTCGAAGAACCTACAGCGTTTTCAAACAAGGTCTGCAACAAAAAAATCAAAATTTCTAACGCAACCCATACCTTTTTTTCAAAAATCGGTATTTTTTGCTCAAAATTGGTTTCTTGGGGTTGTAGTTTGTAGCCAACAAGCTCAAAAAGTTTCATTAAAATCGGAGAGATCACTTGCAAAAGTCTATCGAACCCCCGTGAAATTACCCTAATTTACTTTTTGGCCCGCCCTTCTATTCAAAAAATAGGGGGAGGGCCTATGCATTTGTTGTTGTCGTTGTTGTTGTTGTTGGCGTCTGTGTACAAGGAAGGAGTTGAGCTAGAGTAACCAGATTTGGAGGGTACTTCAGGAGTACCGTCCAAACAAATAATCCGGTGGTGCAAATCCCGTCCGGGTCGCACAAGGGCTGCTGCAGGTGCATCATGGTTTACATGAGCGGGAGGGGGATTTCCGTCATTATTGGTGCTAGCAGGGCACATAGGGGTATTTTTGGAATCGGGGCGACGAGACAAGATGAATGGACCTGGTCCCGACCCCATCGGCCGCTTTTACAAGTTGGCCAGATCAGGATCTTCAAAAAAGGGGGTCGACCGACTAAAAAAATTTATTGCAGATTTCGATTGGTCTCAGCAAGACCTTTTCAACGAGGGGTCGGATAGGGGGTCCAGGAGCCCGACTTCGTCTATTCGTCACATCAGGACCTTGAAAAAAGGGGGTCGACCGACTGAAAATTTTTACTTAAGTTTTGGATAGGTCTTGGCAAGACCTCTTCAACGAGGGGTCGGAGGGGGGTCCAGGAGCCCGCCTTCATAAGTTATGGGAAAAAGTGCGACGGACTCGTTTTGCGCTCCTGCTGTGCCTCTATTGCAAGGAGTTGCAGTAGCATTGCGAATATGGGTATTTTCGGAATGAGGGCGAAGAGACAAATGAAATGGGCATATTCTAAGGACAGTTGGAGTAAAAAGTGTAAGGACTATTGCATATTGTGAATAGAAGGGCGGGCCTAAGTCACGATGGTACATCGATAACTTTGCTTTACCCGCTCACGGTATGTGTGATGCGAGCGGGCCGAAGGCCCGGGCCTTCGACTGGCCAAGTTGGGTCTGATGCGAGGGCCGAAGGCCCGAGAAAAGGCCGCCGGCAGGCCAAGCTGGGCCGGCCCCCTGTCGAACCGAGTTGCCGGCGCAGCGAAGCGCAGCTGGCAACTCGGTTCGACGGAAGGGCGGGCCCTAGCTTGTTGCTATACGCAGAAACAGTTCGTAAATAACATTATTTTCTTCGTTATCTGCTCAAAATACTTCGTTCGAGCTGCTTTCCTTTGTGATGCCTTAATTAGTTTGTTATGTTTTTAGCGTGTTTCTTTACGGGACTGGTGTACAAATATAATGCCTGTGCAGTGTAAACTTACGGAGTCATGGTTGTAATCGTTGATACAGTACTCGCCCTGAAGATTACACTCCCTACCAGTATGCAAAATGAGTTTTCCATTTTTTCGAACGCCGGTGACAACGATCTGCCCGCAGTACGAACTGTCACACAGCTGGAATATTATTCTGGCCCTGCTGGTCGTAAATTCCCCGCTTATTTGCTCTCCAGGTCTCAGCTGTGTAGCGCCTGGAAAAAATGAATCGATGACAAAGCATTAACTTTTAGTCCCAATACACAATGAGGAGCAATAGGTAGTCTAGGTAGTCTAGTTTTAATTTATAAATGCATAAATGGACACAACTCGCACAGGTTTCCTGTGGGATGTGGACAAGGAAACGACACTGTTTTTTCACGTGTAAAAATAAACTCATTGAGAAAGCAATAAAAAAAATTTTCCATTATTAACGCTATGATAACAGGAAAAGTAGCGATATACATCGGCAACTTTGGCCCGTCCCGTACATTAAGAAACGTACGAATTTCGCCTATGTTTGACCCTGACGGGAATTAAACCTGAGTCTGGGGTTAAAATAAATGTCGTTTTCATCATCAGCACCCTCGAAAACATCAAAAACAATGCAAAAACTCGAATAAAAAGAATGTTCAAAAAATACTCCGCTGGGATTTGAACCCGGGTCCGAAGTTCTCCGATTCGCTCGAAACTGGCACCATTGGTTTTCTCTCGTCGCCCCGATTCCAAAAATACCCCTACATGCCCTCCTAGCTGCATCCGTTGCCGAGATCCTCCTCGACCCCATGTAGACCATGATGCACCTGCAGCAGCGCCCCCGGGGCTCGGATCGGATTTGCTGCCACCGGGCGGTTCTTAGGGTCACCCAAGGAGGCTGCATACCAAATTTGGTCAAGATCGGACCACGGGAAGTCCTCGGACGGAGGGACGAACGAACGGACGCACAGCAGGGATCATGCTATATGCCCGTCCCTCCGTCATTTTTTTACAAAAAATAAACGGGACGGGCCAAATAATTTAATACATTGCAAGTGCAATAAATATTGTAATGCATTGGCGTATTTATCACTTTCTTAGCGTAGTTATCAGACACCAAAACTGTGAAAATCTGGTGACAAACCGGCCAAAACCTAACGGAATTAGTGCATTTTTAGCGTTATAATTTTTTACTGCTTCCATGGATGTGATAATTTGAAGGAATCACATTAGCCTTTTCGTTGCAAATGCAATGAAACTTATCAGGATTACCAGTGGGCGGCTATGCATAAAATCGCCAAAATGTGCAGCCATCTGAAGTCTCGGGAAGGGTGAGGGGGTCAAGTTTTCAGTAATTGGCTGAGCGATAGCGAAGCCTGTCACTCAGGTGGGGTTGAAAAGTTTTTCATGTCTGTGTGTGTGTCTGTGTACACTACTCAAGAACTCACCACCGCATAGCGACGGTGACTCGTCGGAACCATCGTCACAGGACTTGCGGCCATCACACATTTCTTGCTTCGAGATGCACTGGCCGCTGCTGCACCGAAATTCAACATCACGGCAATGCGACAAGGATTGCAGAGCTACAAGAAAGAAGTACAAAGACGTTTCTGTAAGAGCCTTTTCTCATGATATGCGCACTAAATACCAATGTCAGGAAGATGCGGCATTTAATTGCGAAGAGGATGGTATATGATTGAAAACTGTACAATATCCTACGCTTGGCCTAACGCGATTTATACCTTTTATTTGCACATCCATTTTACTGTGCCACCAGTGAGGTCGAACTCCAAAGCGCGCTCCACCGTTGTGAGGAACGGTCACGGCTTGTCCTAAATGGCCTGGGAGCCATACCATCAAATTCGACGAGCTTCGAAATGCTTGGAAGCTTAACTTGGACGCAGAGAATTCGACTGCATTCGTTTGATTAACCTAAATTCAGAAAGAAAAAAAGAGGCAGCTCAGAGGACAATATCAGTTAACTTGTGCCTTAAGCGGAAAGTTTGATGGCGCATTTATCTTTGCATTTTTTCTGCTTATTTTGAATATGTGCTTGCTTTTGAAAAAGGAGTTAAATTGAGGGCCCTACCGGCCTTTAAAGTTGAAAAAATTCAAATTTTTAAAGCATATAGCGTTCCTAATTTTTCTTCATTCTCAAATCACGGTGGTACACCTTCGGAATAAGCAGAGCAAACTATACAGAATATGCCATCTAACTTTTGTGATTTGGAAAAAAGTGGGTGTGTTTCTGTACCACCCCTGGAGCGTGGGGCACTGTAAAACAGCGAGAAAAATGGGACACTGTCAAGTAGAGGTAGTCATATACACTTTTTTTTCGGAAGCTCAAAATTTTGATGGCCCTTATTGCAGCATTCTTCCTGCCGATTTGAAATACTATGTACTGTGATTTGAGAAAGAAAAAAGTTTAAGGCGGCTACAAGCCCTAAAAATTCGAATTTTTCAAAACTGTAAAGGCTGGTAGCGCCGTCAGTTTTACTCCTCTTTCAAAACCAAGTTCATATTCGAAATCAGTACACTCTAAATGTCATGGGACTTATTTATCCCATGAAATTTTAAGCACATCCGGAGGTGATGCAATTTTGTGTCCGCCAGGCGGTACAAATTGTCTAGTAAAAGTACAATTTGCAGCAGGCGTCGGACAAAATGTGTCGTCAGGCGGGAACAAAATCGTATCAGCGTCGGATGTGCTTAAAATTGCATAAATCGTGGGACAAAAAAGTCCAATCACATTTCGAGTGTAGAAAAAATGCTACAAAATGCGCCATCATACTTTTGAGATTTCGAAAAAAGTGTACTTTTGACCACCCCTATTATTGAAGGTGTTGAGTTATTCAGAGTCGTGATTTTTGTTTCAGGGGAGTCTCTTACCACTTTGCAAGATGATTCACAGCTCCACACTGTTAAAAATAGTTGTTTTAAAACAACAACACAGTTACCAACCTCGACAACGCTGTTGTTTGTGAACAAGTTTGCTTGTTTTGAAACGACGAATTCATTGCTAATTATTTTAATGACTTATGCTGTTTCAAAACAATATTTTGCTGCGTACAAACAACCCGGACAATCTAAGACGTGGTTACTGCGGGGAAACCGGGACTCTACTAGGTCTGTGACCTAATCGGCAATAAAAATTGATGCAAATAAGGCTGTCTATCGGTTTACAAACATCTTGTGGACTAACGACGCAACTCGTTAGTAAACAACAAAAGTCATTTGAAAACAACTTTGATCGCTAAGAAAATTAGCAACATATTTACTGCTAAATTACAACATAATTGGCTGAGCGATAGCGAAGCCCTTGCCGTGTTTGGGCGCTCCGAAAAGTGACTGGTCGTGCGTCTGTCTGTCTGTCTCTCTGTCTCTCTGTATGTAATCACTCACGTTTCTCAGCAACTACTGAACGAATAGTATCCAAATTTCACACCTGATGTCTCCTAAACATCCTACAGGGGGAGTTTATCTCAGATTAACAATTATCATCGTTTGAAATATTCTAAACATCATTTTGAACTAGGTTATTAGCGTGTTTAGGTTGGTAGCAGTGTGTGGCTGACCAATTTCTCATACCGGCTGCCGCGCTTGCAAGCCGTCTGCAAGACGGGACGGCACTTATGCAAATAAACAAACTAAAGAGCAAAGGGGTCTCAAAGAGGTACTGAGATAGTTTTTTAACATTCTAGAATGATTGAAACCATTCCGGGGTGTCAACAGAAGAAAATACGGAAACTAAATGTGAGAATGGTTTACGTGTTTCGTTCCCCTCTTCCCCCTTCCCCGTCACAGGGGAACAGGTCAGTGCACTGAGTGTAGTTGTGGATTGTAAATAGAATGTTTTCTTTGCCATTGTGTGCATCTACTGATTTTATTCTCTCTGATACTATCCTAATTTTTAAAATTCATAGTAAATAAAATCAGGTAAATGCATGAATAACTTCTGTTGAAATTAGAAGACATGTTAATTGTCTTGGTTTGTCTCGGGGAAATGACACTCTATTGCAATGCTGCAAGCTAACATAAATATTCTAGTACTTACATCTATTGATTATAAGAATCCATAAATAGATGTATTTTGCGCAATAAATAATCCATATATTTAGTGCTAACAGATTTTGAACTGATATTGGTTTCAATGAGACAATTCAGGTTTTGAGCGGTGGGTGACTTGGTAAATGCTTTTAATGGGACGATTCCTTTCACTTCACCAAAGCTTGTGTCCGACAACTGGAACCTAGTATTGGTAATGATTTGAAAGCTGGCTTTCTGAATGTAAGCCCAATGTTAATACTATACTGTATTCTTTTACTCTAAAGATAAAATATCACGAGGCATGAATAAGGTAAATTAAGGTGGTGTATTGAGCAACAAGTGGCCTCTGCATTTGACTTCTCGAGACGATTCACTGAATTCGACAAAACTTGTTCTCCGTCGAATGCTTCAGATCAGCCTGCCCTAAACTGAGTCACTTAATAAAAACTATGATTACATATTCCAGTCTATATTGTTCAATTCACTGGTTTTAAATGAAAGAATGACAAAAGGCTTCTCAAATATAACTAATAAATTTGTGAATTCATTAGTTTGAAGAAAAAGATGTATCGAATAGTGAGTCAAGCAGACGAGTAGCTAATTAAGCGATTCAATGCTGGCAATGGAATGTTACTCGACTGAAGGAATCGCATTGGTGTGGCATTAGGGTATTGGTGACGACAAAGGGTGATCCATGAAGACAAACCCAGACCCATTCTTTACCCATTATTGATCAATTTGATATGAATATTTGTCAATCGAATCTCATATTCATTCTTGGAGTTTTTGGAGTGCTGATTATGAAGACCACTTCCGTCTCTACTCCAGACTTACATTTTCATCTCAAATTAGGTCATTTCGGACCAAAATTTTCAGGTCGAGTTTTATATTGTTTCCTGCAGTGTTTGATGAGCTGAACTCAAAAATAACTTCCAAATTTTTCCAGACTCAAGCTTTACCCAATTTTGACCAAATTTGGACCAAAATTTTTGAATTGAGTTTGATGTTGATCCCAACAGTTTTTTGTGTGCTGTTAACGAAAATCACCTCCATTTCGACTCCACACTTATATTTTCATCCCAAATTAGGTCCTTTTAGACCAAAATTTTCAAATCAAGTTTTTTATCGTTTCCTGCAGTTTTTGGTGCGCTGAGCTCAAAAATGACTTCCAAATTTTTTCCCAGACTCACGCATTACCGAATTTTGACCAATTTTGGACCAAAATTTTGGAATCGAGTTTGACGTTGATCCCAACAGTCTTTTGTGCGCTGATAACAAAAATCACTCCCATTTATACCCCAGACCTACATTTCACTCAATATGAGCCCACAAGCTGCAGTCCGAAGTGCACAAATTCGCATCGCTCAGCCACACAACGCGCCCACTCAAATGGCGCGTACCCCTAGTTTTTAACAGTGCAGTAACTCCCCAACATGTCGCAAGCAGTACATGTTCTGCGTCTCAACGCCCCTTCTGAGTTGACGCTCCACACTGTGATAACACTGCACGAACCTTCAGTACACATCAGGAAATCTATTCCGTGATATCTCTCGGTGTACTGTGGTATCTCGACGGAATATCCCTGACCGGACGTCATAGGGGTGAATGTCACTGCAATGAAACAGACAGACCTCGTGAAAACACAGCAAGACTTTGCAACTGAAGAGTCGGCTGACTGATTGTACACTTAGTGCCTCAGCCTCAAATTTTATGTAACTGTCCGTCCAAAGGAACAGTTACCCACACCTTTAAAAAGTCTATTTTTATTCAGACCTCTAAGACTACGGACACTCGCCGTTTATGCAGGGTGCGGTGCATGGTGGTCGTGCGGTTCGACGTTACGCACTCAAATGAATACGAGAGTTTCGGCACAACATAATTTCCAAAGCACGAGTCGCTCTATATTTTTTATTGTGCCACTCGCGCGGCTTCTTGTAATGCCATCGAAACCAATGCGTAGCCAGGGATGGTACGCAAACCGAAACAATACCATATGATTGGTTTGGCGGTACGGACTCGCTTACATAAATGATCCATGATTGGTACCCCGATCCATGTTCGGCTTTTTACCCTAAGAACACAACATACCTTCGCAGTCGTGTTCATCAGATGCGTCATGGCAGTTCGGGACTCCGTTGCACCTGTTCCACTCGTCGATGCAATCTCCATTGTTGCAGAGAAACTGGTCCTCGTTGCATGACTCCACTCCTTACCAAAGAAAAAAAAATATTGTAATCTAGAGCAGTAGAAATGGAGGGCCGGAGGGAGCACACTTCGCAACGCGCAGTAGCCGCCACGCGCGCAGCATTAAGAGTCGTCAGAAAGGCCACCGTTTGCTCGTAGTTCGGTCAGCCTAAGGTTCAACTAAACTGTCTACCAACATATAATTGAGTTCTAAAGTATAAGCCCAGAACACAAGAGAAAACCGTGCTGCGCGCGTGGCGAAGCGGCAACAGTGTCGAGGCGGGCTGGCTTTGCACTGAGAAAACCTTACAAACTATTTTGGGCCTTACAAAGAAAAGTAGTTTGTATAACAAAGTATTTTGAGCATACGTAAGCTTACAAAGAAAATACTTCGTAATTTACGAACTATTTCTTCGTATAACAAAGTATTTTAGTTTGTTATACGTATGCTCAAAATACTTCGTAAGGTTTTAAGAGTGTGGCGCGCCTCTGACGCGTCGTTCGAACGTCGAACAGTCTCGTCCGCGCCTTCTCGCGGCTGTACACGGCGTGCGCGTGACCGCTTAAGGATTGGGTTGGCGGATCGATTACTCTGAGATTCCAAACGCTATGAGTATAGCGCGTATGGTGCAACACAGCTGAGATATCGCACCATACGTGCAATGCGTCAGCCATATTGCACCTTACGTGCAATGCATCCCGAAAATGCCCTATGCTAATGCATGGGAATGGGGAGGCATTGCACTTCACGAGCAATGCTTTTGCATTGCACCAATTGACGCTATACTCTTAGCGTTTGGATTCTCAGTGTAGCCAGTGGGCCAAGCTTGAATTTCCGCGCAGCCATTCCAGCACCCCCCACCGCCTCTAACCCCCACCTCTAACCCCCACCCCTAACCCCCACCCCCTCAAAAACAGAAATTTCGACGAATTTTAACAGTGTACGTGGCAGGGGCGTGATTCCACCGCTGGCGATCACTAGTAGGGACCCTAGGGAAGTCCCTTGCAGGCTGGCGCGGCTCGTCAGCCACCGGCAGTAACGTCACAGTGCCCGCGCAAAGATGGCGGTGCCGCGCCGGCACCTTCAGAGGCCCATTTGGTTTTTCGCTGTGCGCACCGGGTAAATATTGTCCGAATTCTTTCAAATTTGGACACAGGCCGTTTCAGACGTACCCTCACCGAATTTCAAACGAAAATTAGAAATCTTTTTTTTCTGACCACGCTACCGGGTACTTTCATTCATGGTAAAGCGCCTGCCAGGTAGGCAGTGGGAGCCATGCAGCGCAGCCCGTTCTCACGGGCAGGCCTACCTCCATGTTTTTCAAAGACGATTAGTAGCATTCATACGGGATGAGTTAAGGGGGGACTATACTGAAAAAAATGGCTGTTTTCGGTCAAAAAATGTGAAATTGGGTTTTCACGAAAATACCTTGTTAAGACCTTTGTCCAGCCGGTACAGCTACTGTTCCTTCTCACAAAATATATTTAGAATCTTTAAAAGCCGACGGAGGGAACGCAGCGTCGCGTAGACCCACGCAAAGTGCACGTTTTCTCGAGTTTTTTTCAAAATTTTAGTTTTAACGTTAAAAAAGTTCCTTGCGTCATAAATTTTCATCTACGTGGCTAAAATTTTTACGAGATGTTCCTTAAGCTGTTCCCCACAGGGTCTCTAAGCCAGA